CGCAGCTACCTGAGGGGACACAGTGGTCAGTGTGTACAGACTCGAGCCAGGCTCTCGGGTGAACGTGGCCAGGTGCCGACCAGTCCGGGAGCACGTACAGTATGTCACACGCTGACCTCCAGGGGTGAACTGGTCAACCCACACATCCTGTAGGTCAGCTCCACTCACCAAGTTCGTAGAGAACGAGGGGAGGTGAAGACCTGACAGGGAGCCAGACGGGACCGCCGGACACGGCAGGACCGTGGAGGAGTGCGCAAGGACTGGACCCCCAGAGGGGTCTGCCAGGGAGACTGCAACCGGCCGACGGAGCGGCGTGAGTGTGGTGCTGTCGCGAAAGAAGGAGCGGGAAGCACCTGAGTCAAGTGTGAAGGTGTACACGGCCTCAGCAGGCGCAGTACCAGAGAGAGCAGACTCACCAGCACCTGGAGCAGCAGCCTCACCAGTACCTAGAGCAGGAGACGCACGTGCACCTAGAGCAGCAGCCTCACCAGCACCTAGAGCAGCAGGCTCTATACCTGGGTCAGGTGGTACGCACAGGGAACAGGCACGGTCAGCACTAGTAGGCAATGCATACATGGCAGTGAGAATAGCATCATAGTCAAGAGCAAAGATATCTACTCTCTGTCCAAGCAGCTCCAGCCAGGTGGGGAGCTCAGCCTCGTCGCCAAACTCGGTACGCCAGGCGTCGCTCAGACGGGCGAAGCAGCGGGACTGTGTGTGACCAAGCGTCCCGCAAGCCTGACCGGTCCGATCACCTGTGCGAATGACGTACGGGCAGCGAACGGTACTCAAAGACCCTCTACTCTGAGCGTACCACTCGTGAAGCTGCTGGGACGTAAGTGTCTCGCGTGGACGCCGCTGCAGCTGCAGTTGGCCACTGCCAGACGTTCCCAACTGACCAGCTCCAGGGCGACAGCTACGACGGCGACCGCCACAACCCCAACTAGCGTACCACTCACTAAGCTGCTGGGGCGTGAGAGACTCGCGTGAACGTCGCTGGAGCTGCATCTGGCCACCGCCAGTAGCAGCAGTAGTAGGAGTAGCAGCAGCAGCAGCAGCAGCAGCCTAGCAGTAGTAGTAGCGCGGGCAGGGCAGGCGAGGCAAGCAGGCAGGCAGGCAGGCAGGTAGGCAGGTGCTCACCAGTGGCGGGAAGGGCAGGCGCACGACAGCGGCGACGGCGGGGCCGCGACAGCTGCGGCAGAGCAGGACCGCATCGGAGGTAGGGCAGATCCGCGACAGCTGCTGCAGGGCAGGGCCGCGACGGCGGCAGGAGGCTCCGCGGCAGCTGCTGCAGGGCGGGGCCGCTACTGTGGCAGGGCGCTCCGCGGCAGCTGCTGCAGGAGCGACGGCGGCGTCCAGGGGCAGCCGCGGCGCGCGGGGCTGCAGCGCGACGCGCGGGCAGCGAACGCGACGCGCGGGGCTGCAGCGCGACGCGCGGGCAGCGGACGCGACGCGCGGGGCTGCAGCGCGACGCGCGGGCTGTGGGCGCGACGCGCAGGGCTGCAGCGCGACGCGCGGGCTGTGGGCGCGACGCGCGGGGCAGCGACCTGGCGGGGCGGCGCCCTGGCCTGACGGGCCTGCAGGGGCGGCTCGCAGGCGTGACGTGTCTGCAGGCGCGGCGCGTGGGCCTTACGGGCCTGCAGGGGCGGCTCTAGCCTAGGGCAGCAGTAGGCAGCACGAGGGCTGCAAGACGGCGCGCGCAGCGCAGCACGTCACAAGGCAAGGCAGGCAGGCAGGCCAACACGTGGGGTAACGCGGTAACCGCAACGGTAGGTGGGCTCGAAAAAAAAAAACGGTCCTACGGACCTAGTGCTCTGAAACCATGTTGGAATTTAGCAGCAGGAATGAATGAACTATGAAAGAGTTGGGTACAAGTATGAAACCCTAAAAGGGGCTGTACCCCATATTGGCTACTCCACTACAGCCTACACATATAGAACATGCATATGCTTTGACAGTTTCGTCATCTATTCTCCACACCGACGCATTTTCGCCCGGGCATCACCACTCAGCGCTCTTCGTGGGACTTAACACCTGGAATTTTGTTGGAATTTTCTTGGGCGCAGCTGCGAAACTTTTATGGGGTGCTTTCTTGGAGGGGGGGAGAAAGTGCATTGCACTATTCCTTTCCTTGGCGTTTTCTCGCGTTCCTTCTTGACTTTGTCAGGACGCGTCAGCACGACGGACGATCGCGATCACACCGACAAGATCAACAATTTCTGCTACAACACGATTGAATTTCGCGTCAGCAGTTTCCCTCCCTTCTCGCGACAATCTTCGACCGTCAGATCGAAATCTTCTCGATCAACGGCCCACATTCCAACTTCTACTTCATTTTGGGCCAGTTCATCATCGACCGTCAGATTGAAATCGGACTTCATCAACGGCCTACATTCCAACCTTCTCAAAAATATTGTCAAAGGCATTTCAGCCGTCGGATTCAGCTGAAGGGGAGATCTACGGAATCCTCGCTAGTGTGGGGCCTGTTCTCAGTACAGGGCTGCCTTATTTAGAAGGTGGGAGAGTGTAAGGATTTACAAATCCTTACTGAGGCACTCGTTAGCGAGGCCATGCCGAGGGTCACGCGACGAACCTGCCCTTCCTATTTCGTCGCACCGAACCACTCCCGAGTCGGCCTCCGCTCCAATCGCAACCATCACCGAGCCATCTTGCCCTACCTCCCCGCCTAGCTAGCATTTCCCCTATTTTAGGCCTCGTCACTTTCAATGTATCGGCATTCTGTACGGTAATCCTCATTCTCGTTATTCGATATTCTGCGCACTCTGCAAGTTCATTCATAACACTGCTGATGAGTTTCGTGTTTTGCAATTTTCATGCCATTGTTGATTCCTCCTGAGTGCGATATTCTCCCGTCCGCATCAGGAGTTTCTTCTTTCTCCCCCTTTAGCACCGCTGATTCGCAATCGGGGCCGAGCGAGCTTTTGTGAATTGTCCGAGCATCATGATTGTCTGATCCATAGGAAAGTTCGCTAGAAGATAATGAGCTCCACGTGGCACACATCGGGTCGTCCATCGGCTGTTGTGGCGAACATTGACCAATCACGTTCCGGAATGCCGCCACGGGGTAGTTTGCGTCGTGCCACTCTGCCGCGTCGCTTTTCCTTCCTCCTCCGAGTCAACGTCCCCTTTGTCGCAGTCGCCATTCTTGCAGTCGCCAGCGTCGCATTCGCCAGTGTCGCAGCAGCCGTTCCGTCGCCAGGCGAATACTCTTCCCATCCTTCACGTCGCAGTGCGACAGGTTCCGTCGCATGGCCAGACAGGAAAAAACAAGAGGATGCAGAAAAGTTTTCGCATGCGTGGGAAAATCTTGCGTCGCCGTCGCAGCTCCACGACGACGCGACGACTGTGCGACGATCCCAGCGACGGTCTCTGGCGACCAATTTGCGCTTGAGCGCACAAGAGCCTGGCGATCCTGTCGCACGAGGCAGCGAAGAAATCGCCGGGTTGGGTCGCCGATTGCGTGAGATGCGGCGCCTCGAGCAGCCAATCAAACGCAGCCAGCTGGCACCGGTTAGCCTGAGTTTCTTCCCAGAAGTTTCCGGGGTAGACGTTATTAACGGCGACGAGGGGGGAGACAAGGGAGGGAAGAAGCGGAGGGAGCAGGTGGCGTTGCCGAATTTGGGGTGTAAAGGCGCAATTTGCCCTGAATTCTCCGAGTGCGGGCAGGGTATACAGACATGCTGGAACCCGGATTTCGTGGACGGGCAGGAGAATGATAGCGGGGAAAACAGGGCATCTAAAAGGAAGCTCCTGGGCTTGAAAAGGCGGTCAACACTCGGTTCAAAAACCAAGGCAACCTCACAAACAAATACTTTCAGCTGCCCGGCATTCAAGCCTTGGGAGTGTATGCAAGGCATGATAATTCTCCCCAACTGCTCAACTGCTGTTGCCTCAGACGATAGCTTGCAAGCATGGGAACGGGGAGATGATGAGGGGGGACAGGATGGGACGGAAGAGGGAGATGGTGACGGGGAAGAGGAGGAGGAGGCGGAGGAGGTGGTTGGGGAGAAGGGGGATGGGGTGGGGAAAGGGGTGAGGTATGGGGGGGGGAGGGGGTGGGCGGGGCGGGTGGTGGAGTTGAGGGGCGTGTGGGTGGACGGGCAGGGGCGGGTCTTCAACGCCTCTCACCTCTTCTGGCCGGGCGGATGTGGCAGGAGGAGGGCGCTCAGTGAGGTGAGATACGGTTGAGTGCGGTCAAATGCGGAGTGTGGTGAGATGAGGTTGAGTGTGGTGAGGTGCAGTTCTGTGAGGTAAGATGCGTTTTCATGTGGTGAGGTTTGGTCTAGTGCGGTAATACGTGGTAAGTGCGAGTTGGGGTGTCGTGAATAGGGGCAGGGGCGGGTCTTCAACGCCTCTCACCTCTTCTGGCCGGGCGGGTGCGGCAGGAGGAGGGCGCTCAGTGAGGTGAGATGCGGTTGAGTGCGTTGAGATGCTGCTAGATGCGGTATGATGCAGTTCAGTGATCGTTCTTCCGGTTGACATGAGCTTAGCCGTTCCTTCCTCCTCCCTGCTCCCCTTTCACACTCTGACTCCCTCGTCCCCCCTGTTGTTTACCTCGCTTCCATCTGTGCATGTGTGCATGGCTAAATGCTCTGACACGGGTGCATGTGTTTCTTTGTGTGCATGCACCTGCATGTATGCATGGCTGAATGCTTGTGTGCATGTGTGATCGCATGTATGATTGCATGTGTGATTGTATGTGTGATTGCATGTGTGATCGCATGTATGATTGCATGTGTGATTGTATGTGTGATTGCATGTGTGATTGCATGTGTGATTGCATGTGTGGTTGCATGTGTGATTGCATGTGTGATTGCATGTGTGGTTGCATGTGTGATTGCATGTGTGATTGCTTGTGTGGTTGCATGTGTGGTCGCATGTGTGGTTGCATGTGTGGTTGCATGTGTGATCTGATCGTATGTGTGATCGCATCATGCATATGGTTATGCATGTGCACGTGTGACTGCATGCCAGTTCAGCCCTTCACGTACCCGGCATCAACACCAGTCGTCGAGCATCCCCTCGCCATCAACCTTGCCGTCCCACCTCCCATCGACTCCTCCTCCCCCTCCTCCTCCCCTTCCTCCGCCTCTCCCCTTCAAGCTCCTCTCATCCACCACCTAGTGCATCACCTCCCTCTATTCCTCCCCCTCGCTCCTCTCCTTCCGAGCCTCATGACCCAAGGGGCTCGATTCCTCGTGCAAGATCGCAAGGTGAGTGAGGCGAGATCAAGTCTCTCGTCCCTTCTCTCCCCCTCCCCTCTCTCCCACTCCTCGCTCCTCCTTCTCCTCCGCTTCTCTCCCCTCTACGCCCCTCTATGCACCACATACATCACCTCTTTCTTTTCCTCCTCCTCTCGCCGCCGGGCCTCATTCTTCCATCAGCCACCTCCTGCATCACCTCCCTCTCGTCCCCCCCTCCGCCCCTTAACCTGCAAGCCCGACGCATCACTTTTGAGAATGCACTCGTGAGAATTTTCAAAAGTATTCCTCTTGAGACTTCACGTGTGGGAACTCTTAAAAGCCATACAAGCATACTCCATCAGCTTGGAGTCCTGCCTCATAAATTCCCTTCAATCTTGCATCACTCTCACCCCACCCACACCCCCCTATGGTCGAATCCCTTCGATCTCTAATACCACGTCCTTTTGTTGATTGTCTCACCTACGTAATACTCCCTCTACTCCAACATATTGGTTAACATTGGCATCATTACATTGGTGCCTCACCTCACCTCAGCAGTTCTCACGGCTTCCCTGCCTGGCCGTGCCTTGTCCTTCCTTACCTTCCCTTCATTCCTTCCCTTCCTTACCCTCTCTTTTGCCCCATCCCATTATCTTCTACCCCACCCTTCTCCAGTGGCTGCACATGCTGGCGTCCCATTTCTTGGGCAGCCATCCCCATGGGGCCACGCTGCTGCCTCAGCCTGACGAGTTCTGAGACGTCTAAAACGCGCACTCTTCCATTCCACCCTACCCCACCCCACCCCACCCCACCCCACCCCACCCCACCCCACCCCACCCCGCCCCACCCCATTCCACCCCACCCCACCAGTGGCTGCACATGCTGGCGTCCCATTTCCTGGGGAGCCATCCCCACGAGGTCACGAGTTTTGAGACGTCTCAAACGCCCTCTCTTCCATTCCAACCCACCCACCAGTGGCTGCACATGCTGGCGTCCCATTTCCTGGGGAGCCATCCCCACGAGGTCACGAGTTTTGAGACGTCTCAAACGCCCTCTCTTCCATTCCAACCCCATTCCACCCCACCAGTGGCTTCACATGCTGGCGTCCCATTTCCTGGGGAGCCATCCCCACGAGGTCACGAGTTTTGAGACGTCTCAAACGCCCTCTCTTCCATTCCAACCCCATTCCACCCCACCAGTGGCTTCACATGCTGGCGTCCCATTTCCTGGGGAGCCATCCCCACGAGGTCACGAGTTTTGAGACGTCTCAAACGCCCTCTCTTCCATTCCAACCCCATTCCACCCCACCAGTGGCTTCACATGCTGGCGTCCCATTTCCTGGGGAGCCATCCACTCCAGGCCACGCTGCTGCCTCAGCCTGACGAGTTTTGAGACGTCTAAAACGCCCTCACTTCCACCCCGCCCCACCCCACCCCATTCCACCCCACCCCACCAGTGGCGTCACATGCTGGCGCCCCATTTCCTGGGCAGCCATCCCCACGACGCAACCCTGCGTTGCCGTCCCTTCCCTACCCTTCCGTAACCTCTTCTCGAACCCACCCTACACTTCCACCCCACCCCACCTCACCCCACCCCACCCCACCCCACCAGTGGCTTCACGTGCTGGCGCCCCATTTCTTGGGCAGCCATCCCAATGAGGCCACCCTGCTGCCTCTTGCCCTTCCGCCCCTTCCCCTTCCTCACCTTCCTTACAATCCCTTTATCACCCCCTCGTCCACCCCAACCCACCAGTGGCTTCACATGCTAGCACCCCATTTCCTCGGGAGTCATCCACTCCAGGCCACCCTGCTGCCTCAGCCCGACGAGTTTTGAGGCGCCTCAAAACACCTTCCTTCCATTCTACCCCACCCCACCCCACCCCACCCCACTCCACCCCATTCCACCCCACCCCACCAGTGGCTTCACATGCTAGCGCCCCATTTCCTGGGCAGCCATCCACTCCAGGCCACGCTGCTGCCTCAGCCCGACGAGCCAGCCCACCTGCACTTCGCCCACAGACTGATTCTGGTACGTCGGATCGGATGTATGTGCGTTGATCTCGGCTCAGAGATCTTTATTTTCCATGTGAGGTGACTTTTGAGTCGACTTAAAAGTCACGACGAGCCAGCCCACCTGCACTTCGCCGCACCTGGCCCTCCCCCACGCTCCCCTCCTCCCCTCGAGACATGCTTCCTCCTCCCATTCCCATCTCTCCCCCACCCTTCTCCCCGTTTCTCCCCTCCCCCCCCCCCAACCCTCCCGCTCCCCCCTTCCAGCCCTGCTTCCAGCACTGCAACCGCCCCTCCCCTGCGCTCCTCTCCTCTCTTCGCTCACACCACCTCCTCCCCCCTGAAGGCCTCCCCCTCTTCCACGCCAACTGGACGCTCCGCCGCCCGCCACCTGTCCCGCTCCCGCCACCTGGCGGGCCCGTCTCCGCTGACGTGGCAGCTGACGTGGCGGCTGCTGCAGAAGGGGCGGTTGGTGACGTGGAAGGGGATGGTTTTGGGGGGCTGAGGAGGATGGTTGGGGAGGACTGGGTGGTGGTGGTGGCGGTGCCACCTGGCGCGATGCTATTGGATAAAATGGAGGAGATGGTGGATGAGATAATCCAAGATAACTGGTGGCATGGGCGGGTGGTCTACTTTCGAGGAGGGATGGGCGTGGAGGAAGGTGAGAGAGGAAGCCGGAACGAATCTGAGAGCCGTTGTTGTTGTTGTTGTTTTTTTTTTTTTTTTTTTTTACAATACCGGAAAATAGTAAACGGGAAAAGAGCGGGATGAACGGGGGTCGGGAATGTGCGTGTGCGGATGCTGTGTGTGACTGTGGTGTGTTTGGGTTGTGTGTGCTGTGCATTATGCTGTTGGGCACCAAAACAATATTGCATGTTCTTATATTTCGTGTCAGTGCTTCATATCCTTCCGCTTTCATCCATCCACAAACCCCTAGAATCATCGTAAAAAACAGCCCGGGCTCTTGTCGTTTGCATACCATTTCCTCCCTCCCCCATTCAACCTCCTCCCAACCAACCCCCCTCCTTACCTGCGAACAGCCAGGGCTCTTTTCTCTCGCATGCTCCTCCTCATCTCGCCACCAGGGGAGGCTCTAGACTTCATTCTCTTCATGCCTCCCTCACAACCAACCATCCTTTTACGCCATCTCCCACCCCTTTCCCGCCAATTTCCCGCCCAACAGCCAGGGCTCTCTTCTCTCGCACTCTACTCCTCATCTCGCCACCAGGGGAGGCTCTAGATTTCATTCTCTTCATGCCGCCTGCTGCTGTCGTGCTCGAGATACAACCCTCCTCCCATCCCTCCTCCTCCCACCGCGCTCTCTCTCACTCCCTCTCCCTCCGCCACCACACTCTCTTCTGCAAATACCGAAATCTTCCCGGGCAGCCCGAAAAACTCCTCTGCGATAGACTCGCGCTGACCCTGCTCATGCAGCTTCTCTCGACCGAAGTTTTCTTCAGCCCGGCGCTGCCCGGAGGCAGCCGGGCAGAACGGGCAGCCCTGCGAACAAATTCCATCCCAGGGTCTCTTGTCCACGGGCAGCAACAGGTGAAAATCTTCAAAAACTGGGCGGCATGCATTGGCAACCGAGGCAAGTGGGTCCGAAACCCGAAACCCCGCACCCTCCCTTGGGATTACCGCGGCGTTAGCAACATGTGCGACCGAAGGTACCTAGAATCACACCCTACCGGCATGGCATATGCAAAGTATGCAGATGCTTATGCAGTGAGCCCAGGAGCGAGTGAGGCGGGGTGGACGGTGCGGGAGGGGGTGAAGTACGAGTGGGTGGTTGGGCCCTCCACATGCCCGGCGCCTCAAGTTCCCCAGGAGATTAAAGCCTTCGAGCAAACGGCTAAGGCACGACTTGAAAAGTCTCAGTTAGAGAAGGATGGAACAGCGGAAGCAAGACGAGCAGCCGAGGCAGCGGCAGCAGCAGCGGCGGTCGACCTATCTAACCCGTTTCTGCCCTTCAACGCGTCAGTCTTCTGTGAGCGGGTGGGGCGGGGCAGGCGAATCCTGGTGGTGGGGGATTCGAAGCAGTATCAGATGGTGGAGTCGTTTCTGAACCTGATGGCGTGGGACAGGAAGAAGCCTGCATGGGAGATGGTGGGGTTGGAGGATCATCCCAAGCGATGTGTGGATGTGCTGGGAGGGGACCCTGCCAAGATGGCTCACGAGTTCTGCCAGTGGTGAGACTCCTTTCAGTGAGTAAGTCGCCTTATAGCGAGTCACCTTATAGTGAGTCGCCATAAGGCACTACAAGCAGTACAAGATGGGTAGTCTTTCTTGCACCTGATGGCGTGGGACAGGAAGCAGCCGGCATGGGAGATGGTGGGGTTGGAGGATCACCCGAAGCCATGTGTGGACGTGCTGGGAGGGGACCCTGAGAAGATGGCTCATGAATTCTGCCAGTGGTGAGTCGCCTGTAGTGAGTCGTATTGTAGTGAGTCTCTTCTCAACCTCATGGCGTGGGACAGGAAGAAGCCGGCATGGGAGATGGTGGGGTTGGAGGATCACCCGAAGCCATGTGTGGACGTGCTGGGAGGGGACCCTGAGACGATGGCTCATGAATTCTGCCAGTGGTGAGTCGCCTGTAGTGAGTCGTATTGTAGTGAGTCTCTTCTCAACCTCATGGCGTGGGACAGGAAGAAGCCGGCATGGGAGATGGTGGGGTTGGAGGATCACCCGAAGCCATGTGTGGACGTGCTGGGAGGGGACCCTGAGAAGATGGCTCATGAATTCTGCCAGTGGTGAGTCTCCTACAGTGAGTTGCCTTGCAGAGAGTCGCCTTTTTGTGAGTCTTTTCTGAACCTGATGGCGTGGAATAGGAGGATGCCTGTGTGGGAGATGGTTACATTGGAGGATCACCCGAAGCAATGTGCTGGGAGGGGACCCCGCCAAGATGGCGCACGAGTTCTGCCAGTGGTGAGTCGTCTTATAATGAGTCGTGTTATAGTGAGTCTCCTTACAGTGATTCGCCTTTTACTGAGTCTCCTAGTCGCTGGAGGACCACCCGAAGCGATGTGACGTGCTGGGAGGTGCACGAGTTCTGCCAGCGATGAGTCCTGTTTTGCCAATAGTGAGTCATTTTATAGTGAGTCAGTCTCCTTATAATGAGTCATGTGAGCCCGGTTACAGCAGTCCATTGTGTTGGGGGTGGGGAGCTCAAAACAATACCAGTTGGTGAAGCCATTTTCCCCTCACTTTCCCCTCTCCCTTCCCTCCTCGTTTCCCCCCCCTCTCCATTCGTCTCCCCTCCCAACCCATCCCTTCTTTTGAGGCGCCTCAAAAGTCCTCTCCCTTCCCTCCTCGTTTCCCCCCCCTCTCCATTCGTCTCCCCTCCCAACCCATCGCTTCACACCACAGGTACACCTTCAACTCCTCAGCCTGCCCAGGCCTCAGAATAGACTACCTTCGCAACGATCACATTTCCATCTTCGATTCCCGGGGACCCAATTTTGACCCACAGGGCTCAGCGCTCCTCCTCCTTTCCCCACCCTTTCCTCCCCCCTCTCCATTCGTCTCCCGCCTGCGCCCCACCCCACCCCACCACAGGTACACCTTCAACTCCTCAGCCTGTCCGGGCCTAAGGGTAGACTACCTTCGCAACGATCACATCTCCATCTTCGATTCCCGGGGCCCCAATTTCGATCGCATGCCGTGGGCTCAGCCGGGCGTTGCGGATATCCCCTCTGCAGACATCATCGTTTTAAATAGAGGCCAGCACTGGACGCCCACACCTCTCTTCTTCTCGGGTGTACAAAACGCGCTGCGCTTCGTGAGGTATTATTTCCCGGGTAAACTGATTATTTACCGGAACACCCCCCCGGGGCACAACGACTGCGAAAATTTCGACCGCCCGTTGGAGAAGCGGCAGCCGACGGAGAGCCTGCCATATTACTGGAGGGATTTACCAGAGCAAAATCGGCTGGCTAAAGAATTGGTGGAGCAGGTCGGAGGGGTGTATTTGGACGTTGAGGAGATGTTGGCTTTAAGGCCAGATGGGCACCATGGTTTTAGCCCGGAAAGGAACAAAACCGATTGCTTGCATTATTGCTTCCCGGGAGGTGTAGATATTTACGCGCAATCACTGTACAATGCGCTGATTAGGTTGTTGCCACCGCCACCACCTTGAGAGGCTTCTTGAGATTTTTCTGGGCTGCAGACAGGCTGCATAGTGTGACACATCGTTTAGTGCTATTTTCTGTTATTATTCTTAACATGACTTCCATTAACTTCATTATTTTAGCCATCATTGGCAAAAAAACAAATATTATGTTCCATTTAACATGCTGATTGTTTGGTTTGACAACTGTTTATTTCATTGGATTTTCTATCAAGGAATCTTGTGGAAATACCTATATGTACCTCATAGACTGCATCTTTTCTTAGTTTGTATAGTGCTACAGAAATGATTCCTTTTCACATGTAACATGCCTGACGGATTACGGGTACGGTAACTGAACTTTCATGTTAGCAAGTGCCTGAATTCCTCACTTCGAACACGCCCTAGCACCAACAGTTGTCTATCTCCTCCTCAGCCCGAAAATACCTCAGGATGAATTAGCTACGACTTACAAGACGTCAGGCAGCAGAATCATTTCCTAATACCAGTGTCCCGCGTCCGAGGTGTGAGTTAGGCCGTACCAAGATTAGGGATGCTGTGACTCGTCCCTTCAAATTCGCTCGCTCAGAATGGCTTTCTCGCCTTCAACACGTGGAGTGCTGTGTAACCAGCTATTCGTCCTTCTTCCAGTCATCTTTCTCAAATGCGCACTCGCCGGCTCCTTGCAAGGTAGCTTGGGATCAGTGAGGCAAGAGTGAGAAATTTCAATCCCTTCGCGCTTACCATCACGACATAGAACGCTATGTAATCAGCTCTTCCTCCGTCTCCCACTCGTCTTTCTCGAATGCGCACTCGCCGGCTCTCTGCAAGGTAGCTTGTCACCAGCTGTTTACTAGTACCGGTCATTAGCGAATACCGCGCTGTGAAGAAACGTAGTTTCCTAAGCATCTAGCGCAAATTCCATTCTTACCAATGGTAGCGAATTCAACCTTCATTTATGAGTTACGCTCTCATCAGAGCTAGTCTCAGCGTAACAGTCATTATCACTTATTTTCCTGGTTCCACCCCTTTTTCCGTCCTCCTATCTGTCGCCCTGCTATTGACACTTTCACCGTGCCTCTCCAGGCTCGGCAGCCCAGCAGCAGTTCGCCTCGGTGCCGGACCTGGAGGCAGCCATGTACACCGAAGCTGCAAACTGGCCGTGTGTGCGGCTGCTGTCGATTGAAGGGCCTATTGGGTGTGGAAGTGAGTTTTATAGTCTAGCTTTTATGTACTGTAGATATTTTCTGTACTGTAGAGTTTTATGTTATTGTACTGTAGCTGTTATCAGTCGAAGCGAGAAGCCTACTGACTGGAAATATGAGTGCTCCACCGCAACCCATTTCTGTCTACTTGTTCTTCCTTCCAAACCTTTCTCCACCCCTCCCCACCACTCCCCACCACTCCCCACCATTCCCCACCCAACCAGACCCTGGCACGGAGAATCATGTCAGCCCCGATTCAGGCCGTCTTCTCGCCCTCCCACCTCTCTCTCCTTGACTCCCCCCAAGCCCTCCTGCTCTTGCTGGCTAATTGGTAGAACCGTCTAATCACCTCTCTGCATCTCTCCCAACCCCACCAGACCCTGGCAGGGAGATCGTGTCAGCCCCAATTCAGGCCATCTCCTCGCCCTCCCAGCTCTCTCTCCTCCACTCACCTCGAGCCCTCCTGGTGTCGCCAGCAGTACTTCACTCGGTGCTCCCCCTGTGAGCTAGAAGCGTGTCACAAGTGTATGTAACTTGTACAGTACACTATGCAAGCATGCACTATATGCACGCCATTATATGTTGTACTATGCTATGTGGTGTACGCAACACACGATGGCATGGTAAGGACAATAGTGTGATCCTTGGAGGCATGTTAAGGGGTCTTGGGAATATTTGAGCCTGTACTGTAGCGTGTCCGTGTCTGGTGCGGTGAGAAACAGAAATGTGTGGCGTGGGTAAAATCGTTTTTCTTTCTGACATGCATTGGTGTGTGCGTGCGTGCGTGCGTGCGTGCGTGCGTGCGTGCGGGCGTGCATTCGTTGCGTGTGCGTGCATGTGCGTGCTCTCAGGATATCCAAGGATCCAATCATTGCCAGCCACGTGGCAGGCATCTTGGTGGAATCTGCTAACCAGTCATCTGTTCCCGGTGAGTCTCCTTTCTGCTGTACTGTTGTTCAAGTGTTGCACACTGGATGATCACATGATGTGAGGTGAGGGACCCCTGTCCCGGTGTTCAGAAGATTATTATGGTAGAGTCCTTACCAGTCATCTGTCCCCCGTGGTGAGGCCCCTTTCTGCTGAACAGCTGTTCAAGTGGTGTACACTAAGTGTACACCACTTGATCACATACACAATGATCACGCTGTGTAAGGGGCTACTGTCCAGTCCAGCTGTTCAAATGGTGTACACTTGATCGCACGCGCAGTGTCCCATCCTGGTGTGGTCTTTTGCTAACCAGTCATCTGTTCCCCCTTCCCCCTGCTGAGGCTCATTCTGCTGTACGTTGTTCAAAGTGTTGTACACTTGATCCTACATGGCGTGAATAACTCCCGTCCTGTTGTTCAAACGGTCTACTTTCTTCTCCTTCCCTTCTCTTTGTTTCTCTGCCCCTCCAGCGCTTCCTCCCCTTTCCCCCAGTCCCCCTTCGTCACCTACCCCAACACCTCCTACGCCTGGAACCCCCTCGGCTTACTTTCTTCCCCTTCTCGTCTCTCTGTTTCTCCCTCTCCTCCCCCAGCCCTCTCCCCCTCGTCCCTCTTCCCGCAGTCCCCTTTCGCTGCCTACCCCAACACCTCCTACCCCTGGAACCCCCTAAGCTCGTCCCTTCATTTTTCCTGATTCTCTTTCCATTGCCCCTTCGCCCGTTCCCCCTTGCGCCCTTCTCCCAGCCCTCTCCCCCTCTTCCCCCTTCCCCCAGTCAGCCTTCGCTGCCTACCCCAACACCTACCCTTGGAACCCCCTCGGCTTACTTCTTCTCTCCTTCCCGTCTCTCTGTTTCTCCCACACTCCTCCCAGCCCTCTCTCTCTCGTCCCCCTTCCCGCAGTCCCCCTTCGCTGCTTACCCCAACACCTCCTACGCCTGGAACCCCCTCGGCTTACTTTCTTCCCCTTCTCGTCTCTCTGTTTCTCCCTCTCCTCCCCCAGCCCTCTCCCCCTCGTCCCTCTTCCCGCAGTCCCCTTTCGCTGCCTACCCCAACACCTCCTACCCCTGGAACCCCCTCGGCTCGTCCCTTCATTTTATCCTGATTCTCTCACACTGCCCCTTTGTCCATTCCCCCTTGCGCCCTTCTCCCAGCCCTCTCCCCCGCCTCCCCCTTCCCCCAGTCCCCTTTCGCTGCCTACCCCAACACTTCCTACCCGTGGAACCCCCTCGGCTCATCACTCGATCACCTGTCGTTCTCCCTCCCCGTCTCCCTCCTCTCGGATCAAGCCACAGCCGATATCCGCCTTGTGAGTACTCCAACCACGTCCCACCGTTTTTCCCCCCACCCAACCCAACCCAACCCTCCTCGGCCTCGGCTCGTCCTTCGACCGCCTGCCTGCCATTCTCCCTCCCAGTATCCCTTCTTTCGGATCAAGCCTCAGCCGATATCCGCCTTGTGAGTACTCCAACCACGTCCCACCGTTTTTCCCCCCACCCAACCCAACCCAACCCTCCTCAGCCTCGGCTCGTCCTTCGACCGCCTGCCTGCCATTCTCCCTCCCAGTATCCCTTCTTTCGGATCAAGCCTCAGCCGATATCCGCCTTGTGAGTACTCCAACCACGTCCCACCGTTTTTCCCCCCACCCAACCCAACCCAACCCTCCTCGGCCTCGGCTCGTCCTTCGACCGCCTGCCTGCCATTCTCCCTCCTAGTATCCCTCCTCTCGGATCAAGCCACAGCGATATCCGCCTTGTGAGTACTCCAACCACGTCCCACCGTTTTTCCCCCCACCCAACCCAACCCAACCCTCCTCGGCCTCGGCTCGTCCTTCGACCGCCTGCCTGCCATTCTCCCTCCTAGTATCCCTCCTCTCGGATCAAGCCACAGCCGATATCCGCCTTGTGAGTACTCCAACCACGTCCCACCGTTTTTCCCCCCACCCAACCCAACCCAACCCTCCTCGGCCTCGGCTCGTCCTTCGACCGCCTGCCTGCCATTCTCCCTCCTAGTATCCCTCCTCTCGGATCAAGCCACAGCCGATATCCGCCTTGTGAGTACTCCAACCACGTCCCACCGTTTTTCCCCCCACCCAACCCAACCCAACCCTCCTCGGCCTCGGCTCGTCCTTCGACCGCCTGCCTGCCATTCTCCCTCCTAGTATCCCTCCTCTCGGATCAAGCCACAGCCGATATCCGCCTTGTGAGTACTCCAACCACGTCCCACCGTTTTTCCCCCCACCCAACCCAACCCAACCCTCCTCGGCCTCGGCTCGTCCTTCGACCGCCTGCCTGCCATTCTCCCTCCTAGTATCCCTCCTCTCGGATCAAGCCACAGCCGATATCCGCCTTGTGAGTACTCCAACCACGTCCCACCGCTTTTCCCCCCACCCAACCCAACCCAACCCTCCTCGGCCTCGGCTCGTCCTTCGACCGCCTGCCTGCCATTCTCCCTCCTAGTATCCCTCCTCTCGGATCAAGCCACAGCCGATATCCGCCTTGTGAGTACTCCAACCACGTCCCACCGACTTCTTCCCCACCCAACCCCCCTCGGCTTGTGCCTCGATCGCTTGCTATTCTCCCGCCCCCCCCCCTCCCCACATCACCCCCCGCCCGGATCGTAAACCTTGACTGCTTGCCATTTCCACTCCCTGCTTGTGTATCCTCCTGTATGAAGAAGTCGACAGAGCTACATAGCTGATACCAGCCTTTAGAAAACGCATGGTGGCATGATGGCATGGTGGCATATGGCATGATGGCATGATGGCATGATGGGATGGCATGATGGCATGATGGCATGATGGCATGATGGGATGATGGCATGGGGGCATGATGGGATAATGGCATGATGGCATGGGGGCATGCATGGCACATTGACATGTTGACATGCATGACATGCATGGCGTGTTCGCATGCATGGCGTGCATGATATCCATGTGACGGTCAGAAAGCAGAGGTCAACAGTCGACAAGACTTCCGCTATCCACTCTACCTGGCTGAATTCGATGCCATCATGACTGTGAGTGCCCCGTCCGTGCGTATGAGAGCCTTTGGGACTGTGACTGTGGGTGCGTGTTGTTGGTTAAGAGGCGTCTACGGTCAACACGACTTCCGCTATCCACTCTACCTGGCTGAATTCGATGCCATCATGACTGTGAGTGCCCCGTCCGTGCGTATGAGAGCCTTTGGGACTGTGACTGTGGGTGCGTGTTGTTGGTTAAGAGGCGTCTACGGTCAACACGACTTCCGCTATCCACTCTACATGGCTGAATTCGATGCCATCATGACTGTGAGTGCCCCGTCCGTGCGTATGAGAGCCTTTGGGACTGTGACTGTGGGTGCGTGTTGTTGGTTAAGAGGCGTCTACGGTCAACACGACTTCCGCTATCCACTCTACCTGGCTGAATTCGATGCCATCATGACTGTGAGTGCCCCGTGCGTATGAGAGCCTTTGGGACTGTGACTGTGAGTGCGTGTTGTTGGTTAAGAGGCGTCAACAGTCAACACGACTTCCGCTACCCGCTTTACATGGCTGAATTCGCTGCCGTCATGACGGTGAGTGCCCCGTGCTGCTGTTGCATCAAAGCCATTAGTGCGTGCTGTTGGTTAAAAATATCAACATTCAAAGGGGATTTCGCTTTACATGGCTGAATTCGATGCCGTCATGACTGTGAGTGCGTTGATCTTTCGTTGTTTGTAAAAATAGTAGTAGTACATTTTTTTAAGGGGGGAGGGGGACACTGCGTTTTTCAGGCCAGGTTACTTTCCTTAGGTCTCCTCCTTCTCTTCCTGTCGTTTTCCTCTTCTGTCTCTATTTTTTAGGCTGTCTTTATTTCCCACCAGCTCCCTCCCACCAGCTCCCTCCCACCAACTCTTTCCCACCAGCTCCCTGCCACCAGCTCCCTGCCACCAGCTCTTTCCCACCAGCTCTTTCCCACCAGCTCCCTGCCGCCAGCTCCCTGCCACCAGCTCCCTCCCATCCCACCAGCTGAATTTTGAGGCGCCTCAAAATTCAACTCAATGCCACCAACTCTTTCCCACCAGCTCCCTGCCACCAGCTCTTTCCCACCAGCTCCCTGCCACCAGCTCTTTCCCACCAGCTCCCTGCCACCAGCTCTTTCCCACCAGCTCCCTGCCACCAGCTCTTTCCCACCAGCTCCCTGCCACCAGCTCCCTGCCACAAGCTCCCTGCTAGCCACCATTAGACCACACTTTGGGGGACCCTTGTCTGTCTTAAGCTTGTGTGATCAACCAATCTTGCCACTTTTGTGGCTGTCTTGATTATTTTGCCTCACTTGCCTCTCTTACCGCTCGTACCGCTCTTACCTCTCTTGCCTCTCTTGCCTCTCGTGCCTCTCGTTGTTCCCTCCTCTCTCCCCTTCTCTCCCCATCGCCATCAAACTACCAACCCCTTTGCCTCTTGCCCCTCGTTGCTACCTCGTCTTGCGTCCCTCTCTCTCCCTCCCCTATTTCCCCCATAACCCATAAGACCACGCGCATAGGAGCAACCACATCGCAGGCATGTCTCGACAACCTTTCCTGCCTCCCCCTTGGAGGCTACAGGTAACCCACTCTTGTTCTGATCATATCATCTCACCCCATCGCACCCTACCCTATCTCACCCCATCGTACCCTACAGTCTCTCACCCCATCTCAACCTACCCTTTCTCACCCCATCGGAGCCAACCCTATCTCACCCCTTGGAATTTTCCCCTATCTCACCCCATCGCACCCTACCCTATCTCACCCCATCGCACCCTACCCTATCTCACAAACTCACCCCATCACACCCTACCCTATCTCACCAAATCGTCCCTACCCTATCTCACCCCATTATACCCTACCCCATCTCACGCCATCACACCCTACCCTATCCTATGTCGCCCCGTCGCACCCTACCCCATCTCACCCTATCGCACCCTACCCTATCTCACCCCGTCGCACCCCATGCCACCCATCTGCTCTGCTCGTATCATCATCACAGTGTGATGGCATCTCTACCTCCCATCGACGTTTCAAGCAAGGAACCTTCCAGGAAGCCGCTGGTGATCGCCATGGCTCAGATGGATGCTGCCTCACTGTTCCGTGACGCTGCTGTCGGGGCCGAATCTCCCATTTCTGTGAGTTCTGGCTCTAAAAGTTCTTGGTTATCGCGAAAGAAGAACCGCGCATTCTTGAAGGCAGGTGGATGGATGATTCCCTGCTTCGTTGTTTCGTGACGCTGCTGTCGGGGCCGAATCTCCCATTTCAGCGAGTTTCTGGCTTTAAGTATTCCAGTTATCGTGAAAGGAGACGTGCACATTCTTAAAGGTAAGGTGGGTGCACCAGGCTTCCGTGACGCTGCTGTCGGGGCTCAGTCTCCTGTTTTTTGTGAGTTTCTGGCGTCTGAGTCAACTCAAGGGTCACATTGCCATGGCTCAGATGGATTCTGCCTCACTCTTCCGTGACGCTGCTGTCGGGGCTGAGTCTCCCATTTCTGTGAGCTTCCGGATCATTTGGTACTTCATATCTTCAGCAAGACTATATGCTGTAAAAAATGTGTGTCTTGAAGGTACGGTGGATGGATGAAGGTACTGTTTTGTGATGATGTTCTCGGGGCCGAGTTTCCTATTTCTGTGAGTCCTTTTTTTCCCAGAATATATCATATCTTCTGAGAAGAGTGCACATTCTTTATGTTCCCCTGCCACAATCCTCACTTAACAGGATTACTTATGTCGATACATACCACAGCAGCAATTTGCACTGTTGTCAGCTGTACACAGTGCATGATGCATGCATGATACACAATGCATGATGCGTAGTTCTCGTTTCCTATTCCTATTTCCTCTCTCCCTCTTCACTCCACCCTCATAGAATCCCATTTGTTTGCTATCAGCAGCACCAAAGCCAGCCTCAGATAATGATGCATGCATGTTTGCCTCCGCCTGTCCTTTTCTGTCCCGCTTCTCCCCATTTCCCTGAGGGTCTCATCTCTTTGCTAGCAGCAGCAGACGCCATTGCATCTCTCCGTTGAAACCCATAATTACTGTGTGTTTGCTTGCCCCTATCCCTCTTTCTCCCCCTTTCCCTCAGGGTCTCATCTCTTTGCTAGCAGCGGCAGATGCCATTGCATCTCTCCTTCGAAAACCCTCCGTCCCAGACCTTCCCAAGCAGGTAACCTACCCAAGCATGTAACCGGATTATGAGGGTACTCTTAACGCATTTTTGCACCTTGATATTGTGATTGTCACTCAAGCCACTTCCCAATTCGGTCGTTATAGTTACTATGGGCTCCCTTATAATTCCTCCACCACTTAAGTCCCAAAGCATCTCACCACTCACATGGCTTTTGAGTCGACTCAAAAGTCACCAAAGCATCTCACCACTCACATGGCTTTTGAGTCGACTCAAAAGTCACCAAAGCATCTCACCACTCACATGGCTTTTGAGTCGACTCAAAAGTCACCAAAGCATCTCACCACTCACATGGCTTTTGAGTCGACTCAAAAGTCACCAAAGCATCTCACCACTCACATGGCTTTTGAGTCGACTCAAAAGTCACCAAAGCATCTCACCACTCACATGGCTTTTGAGTCGACTCAAAAGTCACCAAAGCATCTCACCACTCACATGGCTTTTGAGTCGACTCAAAAGTCACCAAAGCATCTCACCACTCACATGGCCCTCCAGTGAATGTTAACTTCCGTTCTTATTTCAACCACCCTTTCTTACGTTCCCTTTTATCTTCCTCCCTCAGCTCGTCATCCTTGCTCTAAATGGCGAGCGATGGGGCTACCTGGGGTCTCGGCGGCTGCTGTTTGAGTTGGAAAAGTTGTCCAAAGGGGAGGAAGGGGTGGGGAGAGACGTGCTGCAAGGGCTTTCTATCGAAGACTTCACGCAGGTACTGACGTGCTTCAAAGTCTTTTGCTTTAAACGGGGGGCAATGAGGCTACCTAAGGTCGCAGCGTCTCTTGTTTGAGCTGGAAAAGTGGTCCAAAGGGGAGGAAAGGGTGGGGAGAGACGTGCTTCAAGGGCTTTCTTTTAAAGACTTCACAGGGGTATGTGCACATATTATCGACACGGCAAGTATTGCAAGCGTGTGGCACTTATACTGAGCAAGTAACGGGGGAAGAGTATTGGCGGAGAGCTTCGGCGGAGGGGGATGACGCTGCACTGAAGCAGGAAGTGAAGGAACTGCAGATGAGAGCGTCATGCTCAATGAATAGAACTTGTCGAGCATGGCTCTCTCACCTGCAGTTTCTTCACATCTCGCTGCAGTGCAGCAACCTCCCCTTCTGCCGTAGCTCTCCGCTGATATTCTTCCTTTGTCATTCGCTCAATATCGTGCGTCGATTCTCTTTCCATGCACAAGACGTTCTGGAGCTCTGCAACTTGAAAAATAGCTAGAGGAGAAAGGCACGGATGACATCGAATGTGAACAGTGAAAGGAGTGGACTAGAACGTATCATACCTACTTGCTGAGAGCTTTCTTTCGTATTTGTCCTGCAACACTTGTATTCTAAACCAGTGTTTAAATCTTGATACTTAATGCTAATGTTTCAAACCAGTTTTTCTTAACTAGTATTCAAATCTTGATCCTTAATGCTGTTGTTTTCGTTTCCACTTACACCTATATGCTCTTCTCTTAGTCTTCATCACTTGGACCTGCATGCACTTCCTCTCGGCTGTTGTTCTTTTCCTCTTCATCGCATGTATACCTCTTTCTGATCATCAAATCACATCTTCCTCCTCTAATTACCTCTTCTCCATGTCGCGCCATCACATCTTGGTTGTTTCCCCCTCCTTTCTTGTATGTCCCATCAGGCATGGATGGTGGAAGTTGGATCGGTGGGAATGGCATTGACTTTTGAGTCGACTCAAAAGTCAACTCGTTTCCCTCTCCATCCTTATATGTCCCATCAGGCACAGATGCTGGAAGTCGAATCAGTGGGAATGGCAGGAGCAGGAGTGAATGGGACTCAAGAGGATGTCTTTTGAGTCGAATCGAAAGTCAATTTGGTTGTTCCCCCTCTGTTCTGATGTGCCCCATCCGGCACAGATGCTGCAAGTCGGATCGGTGGGAACGGCGTTGACTTTTGAGTTGACTCGTTTACCCTCCTTCCTTATATGTCCCATCAGGCACAGATGCTGGAAGTCGGATCGATGGGAATGGCAGGAGCAGGAGGGAATGGGACTCAAGAGGATGTGACACTGTTCATGCATCATGAGAAGCCCATGGTGTGTGTGTATGCAACCCAGTGTAAACATTGCTCACATACTCATGTTTTTATATTCAACAGCGTGCGAATCACTGTTGCTTGGCCTGTGCACTTGATTTGACACAAATAGTTCCATTGCATCATAGCAAGCCCTTCCGTTGAGTGTGTTGTTGCTTTTTGTATCTGTTACTCACTTCACCCATAGGTCTATGGTACTAAATAAGTACTGCGTACGTCACATGACTCGTGTTATCAAGCAAGCGTAACCCATATTGTCACATCTTATCCTATGCTTCCTCACTCTGTTGTCCATGCACCTTCCATGTACCTCCCTTTCAATCACCAGCAAGCAGGAGCAGAAGCCATGGCCGAGGCAGTGGGAGCAGCAGCAGAATCCATCAAACAGGAGTCCTCAAGAAGGAGAAGGAGAAAGTTCAGCAGCACCTGAGCAGTGCACCTTCCATCAATGAGCCTTCCCCTCCCAAACCCCCAGCCAGCAGGAGCGGCTGCCATGGCAGAGGCAATGAGAGCAGCAGCAGCATCCATCCAACGTAATTCTCAAGACGGAGAAACTGCATCAGCAGCGGAAGAGGAGGGGCAGGAGATTGTGGGTGTGCGTGTGGAGGCAGCCAGTGAGGAGACGCCGGGTTTTCCGCCCTCCTCCTTGCTCGCTATGTCAGCTGAGGTGGGTGGGCAGTGGACACTGAGTGGTTGGAAGAAACTGGAAATAAAGAGGAGGGGCAGGAGAGTGCGGGTGTGCGTGTGGAGGCAGCCATTGAGGAGACGCCAGGTCTCCCGCCTTCGTCACTCCTCGCACTGTTGGCTGAGGTGAGTGAAACTGAGTGGTCACAGACTCACAGGCATTCTCGAATGGGGATGGGGCGAGCGAGGGAGTGCTGATGTGGGTGTGCGTGTGGAGGCAGCCAGCGATGAGACACCAGGTTTTCCGCCCTCCTCACTGCTTGCAATGTCTGCTGAGGTGAGTGCCAGTGAAGGGGGTGGGGTGCCGATTGTACTGGGGCGGGAGAGGGTGTGGGTGTGCGTGTGGAGGCAGCCAGTGAGGAGACGCCAGGTCTCCCACCCTCATCGCTGCTTGCACTGTCAGCTGAGGTGAGTTGAGAGTGATTGTATGGTTAGATGCAACCATATATGGGGTTGGGCTGGGAGGGTTCTGGTGCGGGTGTGTATGTGTATGTGGAGGAAGCCAGTGAGGAGACGCCAGTTCTCCCCCCTTCATCACTCCTTGCTCCACTCAGATACCCTCACTCACACCAACCGGCACATCTCCAACCAACCCGTACCCAAACAGTCACCTCAACCCCCTGCCCCCGTGCTGTTCCCTCCCGCTCGCAGCATGCAGGTCTCTTGACTCTCCTGCTCTCCTACTGGAACCGACACGTCTCCAAACCCCACGTTGACTTTTGAATTGAGTTTACTTTTGAGTCGACTCAAAGGTTTCTCGACTCTCCTGCTCTCCGACTGGAACCGACACGTCTCCAAACCCCACCCCAACAGACACCTCGACACCCTCCCCTCCATCCCAGCCTGCTTTTTCCCCTATTCCTCCCTCCCCCCCCTTATCCCATACTGTTCCCTCCCTCCCCCAGCATCCAGGCCTCTCTGCTCTTCATCTCTCCGATTTCAACAAACAAGTCTCCAATCCCTACTTGAACAGCCACCTCGACACACTCCCTCCATCCCCTTCCCTCGATCTCACTTGTAGTCTTTTGTTCCCCAATTCCCTCCCATCCCGCAACGGCTGTGTCGCCTCCCTCCCATCCCGCAGCGTATGTTTTTTTAGAATTCTCAAAAAACATTCCCTCGATCTCACTTGCAGTCTATAATCTATTGTTCCCCAATTCCCTCCCATCCCGCCCTCCCCCTTTTCTCACCTTGTTCTCCCCCTCCCAACATCCGGGCCTCTCTGCCCTTCATCTCTCAGATTTCAACCAACAAGTCTCCAACCCCTACCTCAACAGCCACCTCAACTCCTTGCCCTCCCATTTCTCTTCCCATCTTCCCATCTTTCCCCCCGCTTGCCCTCCCTCTCTCCCCCAGCATCCAGGTCTCGCTGCTCTTCATCTCTCGGATTACAACCAACAAGTCTCCAACCCCTACCTCAACAGCCACCTCGACACACTCCCCTCCATCCACCTCCCATCCCTCACTCTCTCCTCCACCCTCCTCGCCCGCTCCCTCCTCCTCCTCTCTGGCGCCCCTCCCTCACTCGCCCTCCAAGCATTAGTCAACACCTCCCTCATATCCAACCTCGTTCTCTGCCTCCTCTCTCCTTCCCCTGGTCTCCTCTGCCCCCTCGCCTCTTCCCTTCTTACTCCACGTGACCCTGCTCCTAGTCACTACGCTGGGGTCTTTCTTGGAGTTCCTCCATCCATCTCTCCCTCCTCCTCCCCTCCTTCCTCCTCTTCCGCTTCCTCTCCTCCTCTCTATACCCTTGCTGATACCCCCCGGTTCATCTGGAATTTCCTGGCTAAGACAACGGCTGTGAAGCCGAAAGGAGGGGAGGAGGGAGGGGAGGAAGTGGAGGGGAGAGAGGGGAGGGAGGTGAGGGAGGGGAGTGGAGCAGGAGGAGGAGGGAAGGGAGGAAAGGGGAAGGAGTGTGTGGAGAATGGGGAGTGTGGGGAAGCAGGGGAGGTGTGTGTGGGAGTGCTGGCAATGGCCAAGGGCGAATGCATGCTTTCTTCCACCACGTGAGTACCATTCCTTTCCGCAACAACGTGAGCAGCATGGGTAGTCCTATTAAGTCGACTCAAAAGAGAGTGAAGAGTGTGGGGCAACAGGGGAGGGAGTGCTGGCAACGCCTAAGGGCGAATGCCTCCTTTCCTGTTGAGACCAGATCATCCATGAGTCGACTCAAAAAACATGCAGGCAATCGCCAAGGGCAACTTCCTGCTTTTCCTTGATTTTTTTTTGGCTCCTCAAAGAAGTTTGTGTCGTTTTTTTTTTTTTTTTTTTTTTTTTTTTTTCGCACTGTGTAAGTGTCCCCGCCTTGCTCATCGACTATTCTTCAACACCACGTGTTGTAGCCTATCCCCTCCTTGGTCAGGCACCCATGGGATCTGGTGGTGCCTGTTCCCCACTACTTTCTTTCTGCTTCCCCGCTGTCCTTCTGCATTGGAGTATAACGCCTCCTCCCCCAGGCAGCCATGCCGTGGGGATATTGTGGATCCTGTTTCCAACCACTTTCCACGTACGCCATTCTTGCCCTTCCCCCATTACTGTTCCCTGCTGTTTCTGCCCATTGCAGGTATATCCCGGCCCTCTCCCCTCGACTACTCTTCAACAGCACGCATTGAAGCATAGCCCCTCCTCGGCCGGGCAGCCATGGGGATCTGGTGGATCCTGTTTCCCGCTACTCTCCACTCCACTGTTGTTCCCTGCCTTTTCTGCCCGTTGCAGGTACATCCCAGCTCTCTCCCCTCGCCTTGTCTTCAACAGCACGCATTGGAGCATAGCCCCTTCCCACCCAGGCAGCCATGGAGATCGGGTGTATCCTGTGATTCACCACCCGCCTCCTGCTCTCCTCCCCCTGCTGTTCCCCTCAGGTACATTCCTGCATTGTCCCCTCGGCTAGTCTTCAACAGCACGCATTGGAGCATAGCGCCTTCCCACCCAGGCAGCCATGGGGATCTGGTGTATCCTGTGATTCACCACCCGCCTCCTGCTCTCCTCCCCCCTGCTGTTTTCCCCTCAGGTATATCCTGGCTCTTTCTCCTCGACTGGTCTTCAACAGCACGCATTGGAGCATCGCCCCTCCCCGGCCGGGCAGCCACGGGGATCAGGTGGATCCTGTGTGGACCGAGAGCTTTTGGCAGCACCTGAAGCTGAGGAGTTACTTGGTGGATGATCCGATATGGGATGCTTCGATACTGCTTGGAGGAGTGGTGTGGGTGGTGGTGCTTTGTGTGCTTGTCACTTGGGCTGATAAAGCTGTTAAGCAGAAGCTGAAGCGGGTATAGATGCATATACCAGTGCCTGATAATTTTGCAATCCTAGCTATAACTAGGGATGTCTTCTTTTCATGTCATGTACACATTCGAACCCGCAGCTGAAGACCTATACAATACTTCAATTGTCCAAATAAACTAAAATTGCTAATATTTTCGTCCATCTTTCTTCAACTGCTGTCGAAGTTACATAACATTCCCTTCGCGACGTCGCGAAGGCGGCTGTGTTACCCCCTCACCTTACCTCCACTCGCGCTCATCCGCGGACCGCTCCGTTGCGCGAGCACCACACCCGCCGCAGGCATTTTCCTTCCAACGCGGTTACGCGGAGTTCCCCCCACCACCCTCTCTTTCGGGGAGACTTTCAGCTCCGCCCCGTTCCAGAACCTTCCCGCGCATTCCCGCGCCTTCCAGCTGCTTCCGCAAGCCTCGAGAATGCGCGCCTGGAATGTGCGCGAGCCTTCCGGGCGCGGCGCGCGCGGTGAAAGTGGCGCAACCCTGAAAGTATAAAGCCGAGAGGGGAGCAGCAAATTCTTCACTACCTATTTCCCGACTCAATTTCTTCAGACACTACTAATCGACAGACGCTATCCGTCAGAAGCCATTCGTCAGGAATTCGTCATCTCAGCTACCGTCCACATTACCAAGACTATTTTCCCGAGCACGGTTGGCCTCCCACGTAGCTTTGCGATTTCCTCAACCGTTTTTGGATTCCACTTCTTGTAGTAAAGCATTAGGCTTTGCGAGAATCTATCCATAGTAGAAGGAGATAATATCATGGATTTCGGCTTTCCGGAGATGATCTTCCCGAGGCACTCGATGTCCGGCTTCCAGTCTCCTTATTATCCGCGGTACCACGAAGCATCGCCGCGCCACTACAATCACCCCGCGATGCGCGGCGGGGGTTTCGTCGAAGACCCGTTTGATTCCCGCTCCGCAGCCCATTACCAGGCGCAGCAGCGGCGTCAGGCGGAGGTGCGCCATGCCGCGGAGTTGCGCCGACAGGAGGAGTTGCGGAAGGAGGAGGCGCGGCGTCAGGCGCACGCTGTCGCGCTCCAGCAGGCGCAGATGCGGAAGCGGGAGGAGTACTTGGCGCAGATGCGCGCGCAGCAGGAATATCTAACGCAAATCGAAGCGCAAAAGAAGCAGCAGCAGGTGCAGCTGCTGCAGCAGAAGCAGAAGGATGCTCAAAATGCCGCCATTCAGCAGCAGCGGAAGCAGCAGCAGCACTGGAGCGAGTCGCTTTCTGATTCCGACAGCGACGAGTCAATGCCCGAGCTGGAGCCGATTTTCGAGGGCGTTTTCGAGAATTCCCCAAACCATCCCGCAACCCCGGAGCCCGGCTTCGAGCCCGCAGCACCACCGCCAGGAGCAGTATCTCCTCAAACGTCTCCCAAAGAATCGCCCAAAACGTCTCCCACGAAAGCGAGGTCTCCCAGGAGAACGCAGTCTTTCCAGAAAACGCAGTCTTCAGCTCCAGTGGCAGTGAAGGTGATTCCTGTGACTGACGCAACAGCAGCAAATGATGCATTACAAGCAGCACCAGCAGCACCATCAGCAACAGCACCAGCACCAGCACCAGCACCAGCACCAGCACCGGCACCATCAGCATCAGCACAATCGGAACCAGCAGCACCAGCAGCAGAGCAACCCTCACTAAACGTTGCTGCTGTTAGCAGCACTTCTAGTGGTATGACAGACGAGCAAGCAGCATTGGCGATTCAGTCCGCATGGAGAGGACACCAGGTGCGATCCTCTAAGCCGTTTGAGGTGACCAAGCCTATCGTCGAGGTTCGGAAGCTGCTTCGGGAGATGGAGGAGAGGCTCGGGGACAAGGAGTTTGTAGCCAAGGTGGTTACCGAGCCTATGGAGAAGCTTCGGACGACAGAGACGATCATGTGCTGGCTGTTTCGTCTGGACGGGGTTCAGTCTACGAACCAGGACGTTCGGGCACTGAGACGAGACATGGCTCGGAAACTGAACCAACTGCTGGATCGGGTGGACGCTCTGACTCTCCCCGCACCTGAGGAGGGAGAGAAAGATTCTACAAAGTGAGACTGAGAAAGTGCAAGCAATTATGTGCTGCAGCTGGTAAAGCACAATGGCTACTTTATACGTGTCCTGTGCGGAACCTCAGAAAGTAGATGACAAGACGGGGATGCAACAAGCTGAGCTGGCCAGTGTACTCTCACTGTGACCTGTCACACCCTGAAAGGTCAAGAGTTGAAGCCTGGAACCTTAGGGCTTGGCATTCTGGAGCAATTCAGGCCAAAATGTATGTAGCTAGTATCAATGTATTGTCGTGTTATGCAATATAAATTGGAACATATGCATATTGATTACATGTAATTCTCAAAGTGTTTAGTTCAAGATAGGACTATAATAGATGAATTGGTGTCATAATTTTTTATTTGTTTCACCGAGTGCGAAGCCCACTGGTGATTCGAATCTGCTTCAACCGAAGAATTTTCGCTTTCGCGGCTCTCCAGGTTTCATTTCTAAGCCGAGCCCACACACCCTCAGTCTTGTTTTCAGTCTCTCCATACCCCCATAACTCGCAGTCGCATGTCTATAGGACCGATGACGTGGTCCTCGCCCATGCCGCGGCGCCTTCAGGCAGGACCTAAAATCGCATGCACGCCGCGCAGATGAATGGTGCTTGCGGGCGGCACGCGATGCGATGTCTCGTCGGGGAAATCGAGCACGTTTTTTGCATGCTTCATCACGATTCCATTCAGGAATGTGCATCGGAAGTGCCTTCCACGGCGTCGGGAAATCCCGATTCCCAGGTTGATTCGTGCCTTGACGTCCTATGGCAACCCTCCTAAGGCAGTGTCCCTAGAAGAACCTAACACTTGTGAAAGTCGAACTCCCCTTTTTTCTCTAATAATCCAGCATCAGGTGGGATGAACGATCCAGATTGGATCTTCTACGGGCGGCACGCCCCTTCCTCATTCCCGTCGCTGCACGATCGATGGACACCTCGCGATGGGCCAATATGTCGCCGTGGCGTCGCACGGCGATGGATCCCCTCACGTCGCCTTTGCTCGGTTCGTCGCCCGGGCGACGTGGAGAGGGCCGTCGCGAAGAGGTTCTGCGGCACGACGATGTCGCACGGGATGTGAAGCAGAAACGGCAGACAGCAGAAGCGAAACGGCAGCACCAGAAGCAGAAAAAGAAGATGCCTAAGCAGCAACGGCAGCAGCATGAGGAGGGGAATCAACTGCTGAAGGAGCAGCACGATCAGCAGCAACAACTTCAGGAGGAAAATTTATTGCAGGAGCAGCAGCAGCAGAAGAAGAAGAATCAGGGGCAGGGGCAGCAGGGCCAGCAGCAGCATAAACAGGAACAAGCAAGGCAGCAGAAGCATGAATTTGTTGAGCATCAGTTGAAGAACCCAGCAGCCACAGCAGTTGGTACACAAACAGAAGTAGCCACAGCAGCATCAGCAGTCACACCATCAAAAGCGGGTGCAGCAGAGGCAGATGCCTCACCACGATTGTCCCGTTCTGCACCAGAGCCTTCAGAAGTGGGGAACACAATCAAGGAGCTTCAGAAGCTGGTTCAGGACATGGAGGAGAGGCTCGGTGATGAGGAGTTTCAAGTCAGATTGGTTGCCGAGCCTAAGGAGAAGCTTGGGGTTGGGGAGACAATTATGAGCGGACTCCTAAAGTTGGATAAGTTGCAGTTTTTTAACGAACATGGACGAGAGCAAAGGAGGGTGTTGGCGGGGCAGCTGAATGCGTTGCTTTACAAAGTGGAGGCACTTAGGACTAGAGGCGATATTGGTAGTGAAGAATAAGTTTTTAGAGTTCTGTCCTGATTGATACGGTAATGCCTTCTAATATTGACTTTAGAAGGAAGTAGCTGCATTTACTGCAGCTGTGGAGCGGAAGCAATACAACCTTTGCAATGAATGTGGTGATTTTGTTTTGGCTTCTAATTCTCCTGTGAAATCCAGCCTTGTATCATGGTGACTATAGGCTTTGATGGTTACCTTGTCATTCCAAGCAATTGTGATGCAATTATAAACACTCGTGAGTTTGTAACTGTAGTGGGCCAGTGCACCAAATCTGCGTGTTGTTGTATCGAGATTGAGAAATTCTCGTCACTAGATTCTTCCACTCTTGCATCATCTATGGTACTTTCCAGACTCCAACATCAGTTGTCTCCCATGGCTCTGTTTTCAGACAATTGCTAGCTAGTTTCCACATTCCGCGGACCGTAGGTTCCGCGTTTTGGGGTGGGTTTCGTCTCTCACCAAATTTGACAGCCTCTCCCTTAGTGTTTTTATTGCCCAAATCCAATTCTCCTGCCACCCTTTCTCGGGTTACCGTCTCCCGTCCTCGAATTCACCCGTGAGAGCAATCCAGTTTCGGGGTTGGCGCACTTCAGAATCCGTTGCTGAAGATTCGTAGCTCCAATCTTTTGGATCGCCTTACCTCGTAACCCCATCTCCTGCTGTATTATACCTCGGTATCTTTAAGTTCTGTCGTTTTCTTTATCCCCGTTATGGCGGGAAAACGAATCACCTTACGCGTACGGAGCCGCGACGGGCTGGAGCGAGTCCAGCTGGACGAATCAGAGGCCACCGTTTCCGGCCTTCGCGCGCAAATCTCGCAGCAGCTCGCGATCCCATTGGCCGATCTGATCCTCTCTACGGACCAATCCCTTCTCCTTTCAGCCGACCCGGAGAAGTTTAAAGACCTAGCGGATCCCTCCGCGTCGCTAGAGTCCCTAGGTATAGGCCATGGGAGCATAGTGTTCGCGAAATACAGTGCTTCGCGAACTGTCGCAGGGCCGCCGGTGCCTGTCGTTCCCGCAGGGTCGTTCGGCCGACACATGACCGTGAGCGACATGGTCGCGCGACAGATGCGAATCGAGCGACAGGAGACGTCGCACTGCCAGCAAGTGTCGTTCGATCGCGACGCTGCGAACGTGTTTCAGGTGAGGTTCCTGTCACACAAAGTATTCTCCTATGAATCAGGATTGCTGTGATTCATGCTCGCTCCACGTTCCCTCCTCCCCCCGTCCCAGGCTCCAATCTTTCGCCACACAGGTTACTCTGTAACGCTTACAGCCACTCCGTCGCGTACCCCCTTCCTCGTATGCCCACTCCCTCCCTTACACACACCCCTTTTCACTCTCCCAGCACTACGTGCATGACAGCCTGGCATTCTCTATCAAGCATGGCGGCTTCCTGTATGAAAAGGTGCGGGAGAATTCACTTAAAGGAAGAAGGCATACGCTCATACATACCCTCCCTCCCATATCCCAAACTCCACTCTCCCTTAACATTCCCAGCACTACGTGCATGACAGCCTGGCGTTCTCCATCAAGCGAGGCGGCTTCCTGAACAGGGAGGTGCGGCAGGACTCAGACTAGGGAAGTCTATGTACAACGAGGTGCTCTATAACGGGGCAACACTCCCTCCCGTACCCCATCCCCCTTCTCACCCCACTCCCAGCACTACGTGCACGACAGCCTGGCATTCTCCATCAAGAGAGGCGGCTTCCTGTATGGGGAGGTCCTTGAGGACTCAGACCAGGGGGGTTTCTGTTTAATGATTTGCTCTATAACGAGTATTTTCCTACTCCTATCCCGCCCTTCACTCTCCCAGCACTACGTGCATGACAGCCTGGCGTTCTCCATCAAGCGGGGTGGCTTCCTGTTCGGGGAGGTGCGGGAGGATGGGCACGTGTTGGTGGATTTTATATACGAGCCTCCACAGCACGGCACAGAGCACACCCTGCAGATCTTCCCCAATGAAGGTGGGAAAGGCTTACTCTCACACAGTCGCATCCAATGAAGGTGGGAACAGCACACTCAGAATTGCGCACAAGCAAGGGAGGATGGGCACGTGCTGGTAGATTTTATATACGAGCCTCCACAGCTCGGCACAGAGCACACGCTGCAGATCTTCCCCAACGAAGGTGGGAGCAAACTCACATGTAGGTGGGCTTGTTCGTGTACCTCTAAGGGAGGGAGGATGGGCACGTGCTGGTGGATTTCATACACGAGCTGCCCCAGCACGGCACAGAGCACACACTGTAGATCTTCCCAAGCGAAGGTGGGAACAGGCGTGTGCAACTCACTCCTCCACTCTCTCACTCACTGGGTCCCTCACTCCCTCGTTCCCGCACTTACTCCCCCACTCGCTCCCGCACTTACTCCCCCACTCGCTCCCTCACTCGCTCCCTCACTTGCTCCCTCACTCGCTCCCTCACTCGCTCCCTCACTCGGTCCCTCGCTCCCTGCAGCAGAGGAGAGGGCAGTGGCGGCGATAGCAGCGGGGCTGGGCATGCGCTGTGTGGGCTTCGTTGTGACTCAAACCCTCGCAGAGGATCAACAGGCACAGGAGCACTCCCTCACTCTCTCCCTCCCTTACTCCCTCACTCTCTCCCTGCCCCCCCCTGCAGCCGAAGAGAGGGCAGTGGCGGCGATAGCAGCAGGGTTGGGCATGCGCTGTGTGGGCTACATCGTGACTCAAACCCTCGCAGAGGACCAACAAGCACAGGAGCACTCCTTCACTCTCTCTGCTTCAGACCTCCTCCTTTCGGCTCGGCTTCACTGCGCCACTGCTAGAGAGAGCAGCAGGGAAAAGGGGGCCGGGGAGGGGGAGGAGAGTGCTGGGGGGACAGGGGATGCGGGTGCGCAGGCAGGCGGGAGGGGGAACGGGGACGGGGCGGCAGGAGGGGAAGGAGGAGAGACGAAAGGAGAGGAGGGAGGGGAGCCGTTTAAGTACTTTGCGGTGGTGCTGGTGAAACTTTTAGTGGATGAGGAGGGGGATGGGGGCGGCGACGTGCATTTTGAGGCCTTTCAACTAAGTGACCAGTGCCTGAAGCTGTATCGGGAAGGGTGGTTTGCAGGGGATGGGAGTGGGGAGGGAGAGGGGGGGGAAGGCGGGGGGAAGGATAAGGGGAAGGGGAAGGTTGGGGAGAAGGAGAAGGGGAAGAGTGGGGGGAACGGGGAGAAGGAGGGGGAGGAGAAGGAGGTTGACCCGAAAGTCTCAAGAATGAAGAAACAAGTGGTTGTGGCTGGGAGGGACACAAAGGAGGTGGATAACGACTTCTTCCTCATGCCCATTAAGATCGTGGATCACCAGGTGAGGGTTGTACTCGATATGGAGTGCTTGGTGTACAGCATTTGATAATACAGGGTAATACTAGTCAATGTGGATAGTGTTTGCTTGCTTGGGTCCTAGGGAAGTAGACACTGGTGGTGGCTGGGAGGGACACCAAGGAGGTGGATAACGACTTCTTCCTCATGCCCATTAAGATCGTGGATCACCAGGTGAGGGATAGCCTCGATATAGAGTGCTTGGTGTACACCAACAAGCAATGCGGGATTGTGAGATTTAGGAACGTGAAACCATTCCCTGCAATTCATTCTCTCTCGCTCTCTGTTCCATTCCCCCAGGGCCTCCTGACAGCATCTTTCCCAGTGGAGAACAGGTCAGGGTGATTCTCCCCACTCAGAACGACCTGAAGCAGCATTTGACTGCAAGCCAGGGACCGACCATCTTGCTGACTCAAGTCCCTCTGTGTCTTTCTTTCCCCACAGGGCCCGCTGACAACATCTTTCCCTGTGGAGAATCGGGTGATTCTTCCCACTCAGAACGACCTGAAGCAGCATCTGCTCTTGGTGGTGTTTCTATTCCCCTCCCTGTTTGCTCCGCCCAGGGTCCTCTGACAACGTCCTTCCCTGTGGAGAATCGGGTGATTCTTCCCACTCAGAACGACCTGAAGCAGCATTTGGATTGGACCGCACCCGCTCCAAACCATGGGCCGACGGCCACCTTGCCAACTTTCACCCGCTCATTTCCAGTCAACTTAACAGTGGCTCGTCAGTCAGCTTCACTGTCCCACTCCCTTTCTCTCTCCCGTTTCCCTGCTTGATCTTCTCTCACTGTGTATTCCCCCTAGGGCCCTCTCACAACGTCGTTTCCTGTGGAAAATCGCGTGATTCTTCTCACCCAGAACGACCTGAAGCAGCATTTGGATCGCACCCGCTCCAAGCCATGGACCGGCCGCCTTGCCGACTTTCACGTGCTGGTGGCTTTGAGTCGCCTCAGAAGTGACTCTGATTGTATTCCTCGGTTTGACTTCAAAGCTTTAGTCCCTCTCTCGCTCCCCTTTCCCTGCCCCACTCCCTCGTTGTTTCTCTCGTCCCCCAGGGCCCTCTCACAGCGTCTTTCCCTGTGGAGAATCGTGTGATTCTCCCCACTCAGAACGACCTGAAGCAGCATTTGGATCGCACCAGCTCCAAGCCATGGGCCGACCGCCTTGCCGACTTTCACCTACTCACTTTGACTCCACTCAACAGTGGCTCCTCAACCAGATTCCCTGTCTCAGTGTCTTGTCTCCCTCCCCTTTCCCTGCTCTATCTTCTCTCGGTGTCTTCCCCCCAGGGGCCTCTCACAACGTCGTTTCCTGTGGAAAATCGCGTGATTCTCCCCACTCAGAACGACCTGAAGCAGCATTTGGATCGCACCCGCTCCAAGCCATGGACCGGCCGCCTTGCTGACTTTCACGTGCTTGTGGCTTTGAGTCGCCTCAGAAGTGACTCAGATTGTATACCTCGATTTGACTTCAAAGCTTTAGTCCCTCTCTCGCTCCCCTTTCCCTGCCCCACTCCCTCGTTGTTTCTCTCGTTCCCCCAGGGCCCTCTCACAACGTCTTTCCCTGTGGAGAATCGTGTGATTCTCCCCACCCAAAATGACCTGAAGCAGCATTTGGACCGCACTCGCTCCAAGCCATGGGCCGACCGGCTGGCAGACTTTCACCTGCTGCTCTACCTCAGCAACTTCCTGGATGCTTCCACGGACATGCCTATGTTGGCGCAGGCTGTTCGCACTAAGGAGCCGATTAGCGAGGGCCACCAGCTGATTATTGAGCACTTGGCTTAACAGTGAAGCTTAACAGTGTGCACTTGACTCTTTTGTGCTCTCAATGGTGAAGCATGTACCCAAGGAGCCCATCAGGGGGGGGCACCAGCTCATTATAGAGCACTTGGCTTAGTAGTGTAGCTTATACGCTCCTGAAGTCATTGTATGAGTCCAACTAAACAATCATTATGGTTCAAACGTAGCATCTAGTTAGGGTCACCAGCTGATTATAGAGCACGTGGCTTGGTAGTGTGTTTCATACCCTACTTTAGTCGATAATGATTCCAGCCGAACCCTACTCCGGTGCAGGCCAAGCATCCAACGAGCCAATACGTGACTAATGGGCAAGCACAAACTGTGGGGATTCCACTTTACAATCTGAGATATGTAAGTACTTTAATATCTGTTCAGATTTATGGCTCTACCGGGGATGCTTGTTAAGATAATTGTATTCTGTATCCCCAGGCAATACCACATCGAGGGGTCCGCTGACAGGCACCCTGCGTCCAGATGCCTTCGCGCAGACGCGCGAAAACCAGGCTGGCGGGGTCAACGCTGGGGTGGGGAAGGCGCGCCCGCCCTGCAGTCACTTGACATCCCAAGAAAACCTTACTCCACCGTACGGAAATTTGTCAAGCGCACGTTTTACCGCATCGAACCAATCAATGGTTGACTATTTCGGTTGTTTCGCCTTCCACATTCCCCCCATCGCGCATTCCGCCTCCCAACTTTCACCACCCTCGTTCTCCATTTCCGCTTTCAACCTTCCGCCTCCCCCATTCCGCACTTCCCCCTTCCCCATTCCGCCTTCCACTTCAGATTCCCCCCTTCCGCCTTCCACCTTCCGCCCTGCTGCAAATTCATGCTTTCGCGAGTCTTCCCTGATGACTGTTCCGCACGAAAGAGGGAAAATGGGGTACACTACACTGACTGCGAGTCTCCTCCTTTCCCATGGCTGCCTTGCTTTTAGTCGAGTCAAAACGTAATCGGTCCACTGCATTGAAACGCGTTTCCAGACGCGCTTAGAAAAGTGTGGAAATATGCGTTTTTTTTTACGACGGCTCTGGTAACTCGATCGCTCTAATACAAATTGTAGCACGCCCGTAGTAAACTCATTAGACGCAGCGCTGAGTTTCGGTTGTTACTCAGCTGCTCTTTACTGCCTTTACCGCCGCGAAACACGCCGTACAGACCACCCCGTGCAGACCACCGGTCGCGTGCCATCTGTATACTAAAGTACATTAGTGGTCGGACGTCTCCAGTAACAATATAAATGTGCAACATTCTTGCTACACACTCTCCAGTATCGTTTGCCTTGCCAGTAGCCCGATTTTTCTAGGGTACGAAGCCTTCCCACCCCGTTCTCGTGCAATCCGATACCTTCGCCATTCTAACCTATTCTCCACTTCCTCCCTAGCGCATATCGTCCTGATTTTCCCCCGTACATGTACGTTTTTTAGGGCAGACCGGAACTTTTACTTCCCATCATGGCACCACCTAATCCAGCAGGACTCGGTGTAGATAAAAACTCGAAGAAAATAGGGAAGGCGGTTGGGAAGAAACAAGCCAAGACATCTGTTCCCGAAGCGAAGGTGATACAAACGGATGTCGCGAATTTTCGGTCTTTGGTACAAGAGCTCACAGGTGCAGCCCCGGAGGATGCGGGACCCGCGCGCGGGTCTGGGGGGAAGGCGCGCGGAAAGGCGGAGGAATCGGGGGAAAGGGCGCGGGGAAGTGGTGGAGAGCCTGCCGGCGGAAGGTCGCGCGGAGGTGGGGGGACGTCTGGCGGAGTGGCGCAACCCGCGGGGGCGGCGGTGCTTCCGCTCCAGATGCAATGGCAGCAGCAGCAGCAGCAGCAACAGCAGGAGCAGCAGAGGCAGGGACAACAGCAGCAGACACAGAAGAAGGCTGTTGAGTCAGCTCAAAATCCGAAGGGGGCAGCAGCGGCGGCCCTTCCGCTGCAGGTGCAATGGCAGCAGCAGCTGCAGCAGAGGCATGAACAACGACAACAACAGTCGTCGCAGCAGCAGCAATGTTTGGAGCAGGAGGTTCTGCAGCGTCAGCAACTCCGGGCGACGAAGTCAAGCGAAAATCAGCAGGTGGTAACCATTCCATGCGAAGCAGTAGAAGCCACAGACGAACACCAGCCGGTGCAACAGCAGCCTGCAATAAATATTGAAGCTGCTCATATCGGGCCTGCTAATATTGGAGCTTCTAGTATCAGAGCTTCGAATATCGGAAGTGCTGATATTGAAGCTGCTAATATGGGAGACGCTAGCATCGAAGCTGCTTTTACCGGGTCTGCTAGCAGCGGGGATATAGCGAATCAAGGCCTTGGAAACACCGGCTTTGAAGCACTAATGCGTCAAGCAACTGTCGGGAACGCTGAGACAGGAACGACAGTGTTAGAAGCCTTTGTCTCGGGAAATATCGGAACAGGGTTTTTGGGATCAGGAGATACAGTAAAAGGACATATTGAATCAGAAAGTACAGTAACTGAAACTTTAGGAAAGGGAAGTACAGTAACTGGGAGCACAGGAGGCGTGGCAAGCTCGAGGCTGGCAATGTGCCTCCAGCTGAATCCCGGCATTATTTCGCTATTGTCACAAGCCGTTAACCGCAGAAAAGCGGCGGGAGAGCAGCAGCAGCAGCAGCAGATTGAGCAATCCTTGGCAGTTCAAGTACTGAAGCGAGGAGAGCAGGGCATGCAAGCAGACGAGCAGCAGGAGCGTTTGTTTGAGGCGCCTCCGCAGCACATGCGATCAGGCGAGCAGCTGATGCAGGTGGATCAGCAGCAGCTTCCTTTTGAGACGCCTCAGAAGCGGATGCGGGTTGATGAGCAAACAACGCAAGGACACGGGCAGGGGCTTTTCTTTGAAACGCCTCAAAAGCGGATGCGGGTTGATGAGCAAACAATGCAAGGACACGGGCAGGAGCTTTTCTTTGAAGCGCCTCAAAAGCGAATGCGGGTTGATGAGCAAACGGTGCAAGGACACGGGCAGGAGCTTTTCTTTGAGGCGCCTCAAAAGCGAATGCGGGTGGACGAGCAGCAGCAGTTGGAGCAACAGCAGCAGGAGCAGCTGCAGCAGCGGTTGGAGCAAACACAGGAGCAGGGCCAGCAGCAGTTTGGGCAAATGCAGCAGAATGTTGAGGAACTGTTTACACTGGGAACACTAGAACGAGATGGGCAGCAGGCACAGAAGCTGCAGCCGCAGCCGCAGGTGCAGCAGTCGGCGCAGCAGCAGGCGCAGCAGCCGGAGCAGCAAATGCAGCAGAATGTTGAGGAAGTGTTTACACTAGGAGCTCTAGAGAGAGATGGGCGGCAGGCACAGGAAGAGCAGCAGCAGGTGCAGCAGCCGGCGCAGGAGATTCAGCAGACTGTTGAGGAAGTGTTTACACTAGGAGCTCTAGAGCGAGATGGGCAGAAGGTAGAAGGGGAGCAGCAGCAGCCGGCGCAGGAAATTCAGCAAACTGTTGAGGACGTGTTTGCACTAGGAGCACTAGAGCGAGGTGAGCAGCAGGCACAGGGGGAGGAGGAGCAGCAGGAGGAGCAGCAGGTGGCGCAGCAGGAGATACAGCAGGAGAAGCAGCAGGAGAAGCAGCAGGAGCAAGAACAGGAAACACATCAACAGCAAGAGGAGCAGCAGCACCAACAACAGCAGCAGCAACATCCCCCTTCTGCCCTTCCTCCCCTCCTGCCTCGACCCAACGTCCCTCCACATATCCCTTACTCAACCAGCAAGCCTCCCCTCCTCCCTTCCTCCCACCTTTTCTCCTCCATGCTTCCCCGCAAGCCTCGCCCCCCCAGGCCTCGCAAAGTCACTCGCCTGCAATCTCTAGCACCTCCCCCTCTCGCGTCCCCCCAACCTCCTCTCATCCCCTCTTCCTCCTCCTCTCCCTCCAGTTCCTCCCCTCCCTCCCCTCCCTTGTTACCCTCTGGCTCTGCTTCTGCTGCTGCCGCCACTGCAGCCACCGCTGGTGCTGCTGCCAGTGGTGCTGGTGATGCTGCTGCGGCTTCTGGATATGCATCTTCTGCTGGTGTTCTTGGTCCAAGCCCAAAGCACACACCAGGCCTTTTCTCTCGGCCTCTTGACTCCCCTCTCGTCCCGTACCCACAACCATTCCCATTCTCCGTATTCTCCTCCTGCAATTCGCCTCTCTTCCCCACCTCCTCCCCAAGAGGGTTCCTGTGGGCTGGGCTCCCGGAGTCGCCTGCGAGTGTGATTGTAAGGGAGGAAGCCATGCTGGCAGCTGCACAGACGACATCTGGAGATCCGATGGCTGTGGCCGCACAGGCATCAGAAAATCCAATGGTTGGTGATGTGCATGCCACAGGAAACCCGAGGGCTGCAGATGGAGGGTCGCCGAGAGATCCAACGGATGTGGTTGTTCCTTCTCAGGCTGCTGGTGCAGTCTTGAGCGAAGATCATGCAATGACAGATGGAGGTGCTTCTTGTGAGAATCAGCCTGGCTTGACCACGCCTAGTGGTAAGAAAGCAACCCCATTGCAAGGAGATGGAGATGGAGGGAGCCTCATGGGATGTACAGCAATCAGCCCAGCCAAGGCGGAGGATTCTGGTGGGTCGACTGATGTGGAGAAAATGCCTGAAACCCTCACCCTTTTTGAGTAGTGTTGATCTTGTTCAAGTACGGTAGAACACCAAATCAGGTGTAGCGTAACAATAGTGGATTCAATTATTTTCCTAAGCAGGGGATGAATGACATGTCACAGAAGTGACGTGTTCACCTGTAGCGAACCGATTTGATGCTCTATAAATAACATCCATAATCCATCTTTAACCGTTCCAAGTTTGTCACCAACACCTACTGCCTTGATCTTGCTACTTGGCTTATGCAGTCAACTTTCACTCAGTCCTAAAAGGCCTTGAGAAGTGTCAATACTTCCACTATAATCCACTTGGGAGAGCAATGGCGTCAGTGGTATGAACCACCAGTTCCCCTGGCTTCACGTAGAAGTCACCTTTAACGATCATCAGGGTGCTTTTCGTGGGACCTCGCCTTCCCTGAAGAATAACTTTGCTCGTGGTGCTGGCCTTTGAGAGCTTGATGAGCATTAATGGCTTCTTGGTCTTCGCATCTGTTGCCATTGTGGGGATTTGACTTCCTGGCTTCAGCATTTGAAGCTGGAGTTCAGTCTGTACGCCTTTAAGAGCGTGGAATGAGACGAGAGTCGCAATCTTGATGCTGCTATAATGAGTCAGGTTTCCCTTGACAAATGCTGCGTTGCTTGGCACGAGCATCGTCAATGGCTTCTTCAATGCATCTGTTATCTCCTTTCGATTTCCTGCTTGAAACGAAAAAAGTTAGACACGTCCGTCGGCGTACTTTTCGTTTAAATAACATCAGTTATTGTGTACCGTAAAGCTTGACCAGGGACACAAAACTTGTGTAGCCTGAAGCATTGAGCTTCTGAACAGCTTCGTCGAATGGTATCAATACGGTTGTCAGATTCCCAGACTTAGCGGACGCTGATAGGAAGAGAATGACGAAGGCCAAGGAGCACAGCAGCACTGATGCATTAGCAGATGATGAAGGCACAGAAGCCATGATAATCAGCTCGGCAAAGAATCTGAGATGGAGGTAATGAGCTCGGCAAAATGTGTCTTCGACAAATCTTGCAGCACATATTTTGGCAAGGGATGCCAGGTACACTGTACAGAGATTTCAGCAAAAAACACGAACGCGTGCATCGCTACTAGGTTCTCCAGCCGATTGTTGAGATTGATATCGCCGAGAATGTACTGGGTGTCCTTTTATTCAATGGAGAAATAGAATGGATATAGATCATATCATACCGTCCAGCAGTGTCCCATTGTGGTGCTAGTATCGCAGAGCGCCAATGGAAACCATATGATTCGTATACACTAGGCAAATAAACATTTGATTTGGCTCAGATTGTAGATAAAAGACCCTTTTCACAGCCTTCTAGTTGGCTACTGCTGTCTTAAGAAGTTGCTGGCAATGACTATATTGTAAGACCTATACCTACAAGCGGCCAAATCAGATTGGAAACACTAATTTGGATAGATGGCCTTAACCATTAGTTCTTTCAACATGAGCGAGTGCCGCCGAAGAATCATTCAGACGTATATAATGCTCATATCATGTTCCACAGCTGGTAGGCGATGGTGGAGGTGTTGGCGGCAGAGGTGTCAACTGGCCTGGCCAGCTCGGAGTTGCCTGAGGGGTGAACCAACGTGCCAATACCGGTAATCAAAACAGTAATCTACTGCTCATATCATGTTCCAGAGCTGATAGGCGATGGTGGTGGTGTTGGCGGCAGCGGTGTCGAAGTCAACTGGCCTGGCGAGCTTGGGGTTGCCTGAGGCATGCACCAACGTGTCAAAAGAGTTGTATGCAACTCATACCATGTTCCAGAGCTGGTACGCAACAGTGGTGGTGTTGGCGGCAGAGGTGTCAAAGTCAACGGGCCTGGCGAGCTCGGGGTTGCCTGAGGGGTGTACCAGCGTGCCGACAAACCGGTCCTTCACGTCCACGTCCAGGCGGATGTTGGTGAAACCTGAAAAGAGAACAATCTCCTTGCTGTTGGTGGGAGAGAGGAGTGCAGTGCGGTGCAGAGGGAAGAGAATGGACAATTAACACACATATCAACGTGCCGACAAACCGGTCCTTCACGTCCACATCCAGGCGGATGCTGGTGAAGCCCGAGAAGGGAACAATCTCCTTGCTGGGGCTGGAAGAGGGGGATAAGGTGGGGAGGGGAAGGATGGACACCTGTCATGCACACTCACACACAAATACACATACGCAAACACACATCCTTTTTACCCCCTCTTCCTTGCCCCTCCTCACCGTATCTTGGTGGTGCGCAAGTCTGCATCCGCCTCAACTCTCGCTTGCTGTCATTGCAGGTATATATATATATAAATATATTTTTTTACAGAAAACGCCCATTCCATCCCTTCCCACCTTCTCCTTTCTTACTTTCCCCTCCTCACCATATCTTGGTGGTGCGCAGGTCTGCATCTGCTTCAAGATTCGTTCTCATAAAAAAATTCCTCCCCCCTCTCCCCCCTCCCCATTCCTCCTGCCCACCTCCTTTCCCCGGCGTATTCTACCTCCTCACCGTAACTTGGTGATGTGCAAGTCTGCATCTGCTTCACGACTCCCCCTCATCAGAATTCGTTCCCTTCCCTCCCCCTCCCCCCCTTGTTTCTCCAGCACCTTCCACCTTCTCACCGTATCTTGGTGGTGCGCTGGTCTGCATCTGCTTCAAGATTCGCTCGCTTCTCCCGAAGCTCTTCTTGCCGCCGCATGAGTTTGCTGATCCTTGTCTGATACTCCTTCACCTGCAGTGGAGCAGAGAGAAGGATGCACCAGCCGGCGGGGTACATAGGTGTGACAGCAACAAACACGTGACAAGACTACGTGTCAGTAAAAGTCGGTGAACACAAGATAACTCAGAATTCGGTGCATGTCATATCACCCCTGCACACCTTACCCACAAGCGCGTTAATCTCCACCTTGTGCTCCTTCTGCTGCTCCCCTGAGTTAAACGAATCAAAACAGACCTACTCTCATGCAGTTATCGTGTACGCGTCATGGTCGTGGCATGCATACCATACTGGAGGAATTGACTGCACTCAGTTTGCGGTCCATGACTGGGTCATGAACTCTTCCACACAGACCTTTTCCATGAGCTCGTTGATCTCCACCTGCTCGCTCTTCTGCTCCTTCGCCTCTCGCTGCCCCCCTCTCCGAATCCCTCTAAAATTACTGACTGGTGCATATATAGTCTATGAATGACATATAGCCCACACACACCTTTTCCACGAGTGCGTTGATCTCCGCCTCCTGCTCGCCCTTCTGCTCCTTCGCCTCCCCCACCCTCGCTGCATCCTCCTCCAAGTCCCTCTGTAGCTGTTAACTGGACTGCATATATAGTCTATGAATGGCATATAACCAACACACACCTTTTCCATGAGTGCATTGATATCCGCCTCCTGCTCGCCCTTCTGCTCCTTCGCCTCCCCCACCCTCGCTGCATCCTCCTCCAAGTCCCGCTGCAGCTCCCCCACTCTTTCCCTCATCTCCGACACCACCTGCTGCGAGCCTGCGAGGGAGAGGCAAAAACGGGGTGCATCAGGCATAATAACACCAGTTGCTCCATGTTGCTCCGATTCTCCGCCAAACGGGTCAAAATCGCCACGGATTAGTCAAACGTTTCAGGATTGTCACGGATTGCTCAATCAGCACCTCACGGACTCGCACAGAACCTCACAAATTCGCACGAAACGTTTCGAGTTATTTTTTAAGAACGACTGGACGGGGAATATTTGGTACGTACGGTCGATCAGGCTGGCCATGGCTCGTTCCCTTTCAGTGCAGACACCCACGAGCCTCTTGGTAGCTTCATTTGCTCGTTGAATCTTCGCTTCCTCCTCCTCCATGTTGCTCCATTTCTCCGTCAACCGGGTCAGAATCGCCACGGATTGCTCGTACAATTCCGCCGGTGGAGATACGGCGGATGACGTGGACGTCGACATGGATGCTGACGTGGTTTTGAAATTCTGGTACTTGAAGGGTGGCGCTACGGGATGAACGAAGCAAGACGTGCTGTGCTGTACAGGTAATACGAGCATACGATTTTAGATTTTGACTCAAAACACCTCTGTCGTACAGGGAATACGTGCACGCGAGCGTAAAACCGAGTGACTACCGAGTTCTGAGTACAAATCACCGCCGACTAGAACGAGTTTCGCTGCTTACTTGCTTCAGAAAAGGTGGCGCGTAGAAGCACACTGTCGCTACTTAGCTAGCGGAAGATAAAGATCGAGAAGAGGAAGGCGACGGATTATCAACCTTTTCTGCGGCAGCACAGGGGGGTTCGTTTCTTCCCGTTGATTCTTGAGACTTGGGGTTGCTTGGGGGGAAGCTTTCGACAGTGGTTACGGCAGCAGGGGGAGGTTCAAGTAAAGGTGGCTCTTAACAAAGGTGTGGGAAGGGGCAACAGCTCGGGTTTCTCGGAATACTTGGTGGGGTCCTTGACAGCCGCGGTAGGGGTAGCTTTGCAGAAGGCACAGGCTCGGGTGATTCTTTTGCGGGCGGCATACACGTTGGGTCAGTCCGAGGCGGAGTGGGTGGAGCGAGGGAGTGGGGAGCAGGAGTTTGGAGAGGGAGCACCATGGGTGGACGTGCCCTACTTGGTCGACATGCGGCTGTAGATGTCTTAGGAATCAATACTTTGTTTCGGGTTTTGGCGATGGTCTTTTGATGTTTGAGGTAGTAAGACACTTCTAGGAAGGGTTTATGCATGTCTGTATGCTTGTTGAAATGTACCATCTCTTCCAAAAAAAAAAAAAAAAAAAAAAAAAGGAAATCGGGAATAATCGGCTGCCCGTAGGCATTGCATTCATATTTGTAAAGTCCACAGATTGGTTATCTTGTGATGATGCTGGAATATAGTTTCTGCAAATGTCGCAACCTTTATTTGTGAAAATTGGAAGTGGAGAAAGATGTGGTCATGAAAATTCGCCTGCAAACGAGCAAGAACAAGGCTCGACGATGAACGTCGTAAGGGTTGCGTAGAAGCTGAATATCGTACTAAATATAAACGCAACACCTTTATTTATATATTAAATATTATTTGTTTAGTTTGTTTTTCCATCTTCTTAAGTATATTCGTATCCTTCTCCCACCCTTTACAGTCGTTTTGTATTATACTTATAGCATTTGCTTCTCTATCTCACACATAATGCTCAATTATGTGGAATTACGACTAAAGAATATCAGCATGTACTATGTGGTTACTTATGGTGTAGATCAGTGATTTACGACTCTGCTATAATGGGGAACGTGCATTTCGTTTCTCGCTTTCATCTCGTTTTCTGGAGCTGACGCAAACTGCACACGAAATGTACAGTAATGCATCAGCTGGGTCAGCTGAATCTCACGTGCTCACACATGTGAAACCACCTCGATAACCCAACCCAACCCAAGAACAAGAAACCAGTTCTTTCCACTCACGCTAGTACCATCACGCTAGTACCTCATGCTACCGCTAGTACCTCATGCTACCGCTAGTACCTTCCAGAGTACAACGCTAATACCTTACGCTCGTACGAGCATCGGTTCCTGATTCCGTGACAAGCGCCCGTGACTATGAAACCGCTCGTGACAACGCCCGTGACAAACGACATGTTTCGTGAGTACAAGAGTGATAGGCGCTTAAGTGCTAGGTGGTCATCGTCAACCCTTGGCGCCCTAAATGCTGGCGCCTTGGCGCCTTAAACACTGGCGCCTTGGCGCCTTAAACGCTGGCGCCTTGGCGCCTTAAACGCTGGCGCCTTGGCGCCATGAGCGCTGGCGCCTTGGCGCCTTAATCGCTGGCGCCTTGGCGCCATGAGCGCTGGCGCCTTTGCGCCTTAATCGCTGGCGCCTTGGCGCCATGAGCGCTGGCGCCTTGGTGTCAGAACATATATATAGCTTATGCTGTTGTGTAGGCTATAGTGGGGTATCCCATAGGGGGTACAACCCAATTAGGGTTTCCTATATGTACTCACTTCATTCATAGTTCATCCATTCGCTTTCTCCTTTTCTCATGGAATCAGAGCAGGTCCCCTCCTAGGGACTGTTTCTAGGGCCCACCGAAGCGCGCCCCGAGGCGCGCTTTCTTTTTTTTAGCGACCCTCCGTGTCGCCCCTAGCGGCCCGTTGCGCCGCCCTCACCTACGCGGCCCCACCGCCCTCACGTCGCGGCCCCGCCGCCCTCACGTCGCGGCCTCGCCGCCCTTGCCTACGCGGCCCCGCCGCCCTCACCTGCGCGGCCCCGCCGCCCTCACGTTGCGGCCCCGCCGCCCTCACTTCGCGGCCCCGCCGCCCTCACCTACGCGGCCTCGCCGCCCTTGCCTACGCGGCCCCGCCGCCCTCACCTTCGCGGCCCCGCCGCCCTCACTTCGCGGCCCCGCCGCCCTCACCTACGCGGCCTCGCCGCCCTTGCCTTCGCGGCCTCGCCGCCCTCACGTCGCGGCCTCGCCGCCCTTGCCTACGCGGCCCCGCCGCCCTCACTTCGCGGCCCCGCCGCCCTCACCTACGCGGCCTCGCCGCCCTTGCCTTCGCGGCCTCGCCGCCCTCACCTACGCGGCCCCGCCGCCCCACTTCGCGGCCCAGCCGCCTATCCTCACCGGCCCCGCCGCCTATCCTCACCGGCCCCGCCGCCTACGACCGCCGAGCCGCCCTGCCGCCGAGCCGCCCAGCAGCCGAGCCGCCCGGGAGCCGAGCCGCCCTGCTGCCGAGCCGCCCTGCCGCCGAGTCGCCCGGGAGCCGAGCCGCCGAGCCGCCCTGCCGCCGAGCCGCCCGGGAGCCGAGCCGCCCAGCAGCCGAGCCGCCGAGCCGCCCAGCCGCCGGGCCGCCCTACTGCCGAGCCGCCCGACCTGCCCTGCCTGGTGAGCACAGCACCACTGTTACTGCGTGCCCCTCCCCTACTGCTTGCACTGCTACACTGTCGTCGTCATGGCTACCCCTAGTGTCCTCGCTTTTGACGCTGAGGGTCGAGCCATTGACTTTGAGGTCTGGGTCGACGACCTGCAGCTGTTCTTACAGTGCGATAGGACGGACGGTCTTTCCCTCTTTGACCTCACCTCTGGCGCCTCTCCTGCCCCTGCTGCTGATGCTGACCCCACTGTTCGCTCTCAGTGGGCCACCCGCGATGCTGCTGCACGTCTTGCTGTGCGTCGCCACCTGCCTACCACTGAGCGCGCGCACTTTAGTCAGTACAAGAGTGCTCAGACCTTGTACGACGCTGTAGTTGCGCGCTACTCTTCCCCTGCCACTGCTGCCCTGAGCCGCCTCATGCTACCGTACCTCTTTCCTGACCTTGCTGCCTTTCCCACTGTCGCTGACCTCATTACGCACCTCCGCACTAGTGACACTCGCTACCGCGCCGCCCTTCCTGCTGAGTTCTGCGCCAAGAACCCCCCCCCCATGTACATCACTCTCTATTACATAGTCACACGCCTCCCTGACTCCCTTCACGTAGTCAGGGACCACTTCCTCTCAGTCTGTCCCACCACTCTCACTGTCGATCTCCTCGAGAAGTCCCTCCTGGCGGCGGAGAAGAGCATCGTCGCTGTAGGAGCCTCTCGTGGTGACCCTCGCACCCCCATCTTTGAGGGGTGTTCTCCTTCCCCCTTGCTGCCCTCTGTTGCCTCTGCTGCTGCTGCCGACCTGCTTGGTCTTGAGTCGGTCTGCGCGGCGTCTGCCCCTAGCGGGAGACGCCGCCCTGGCAGGGGCAAGGGGGGCAAGGGCGCGGGTGGAACTGGAGGGGGCGGTGGAGGTGGCGGTGGAGGCGGCGGAGGGAGTGGGAGTGGTGGTGGGAGTGGTGGCGGGGGCGGTGGTGGCGGTGGCAGCAGCGGAGGAGGAGGCGGTGGTGGCGGCAGCGGTGGGAGCGCAGGCAGCGGTGGTGGTGGAGGTGGAGGCGGCGGTGGCGGAGGGGGTGGAGCTGGTCGGGGTGGTGCCCCGCAGCGTAGCGGCTCTGGTGGTGGCCAGCGTCAGCAGCAGCAGCAGCAGCAGCGTTCGCGGGACATCCCCCCGCCCCAGCAGCTCCGTGAGTGGTACACGCAGCGTCAGCGGGGTGGGGGTTTTGGTCCGTGCACCTACGTCCTTCGTTCCGGCGACCGCGCGGGTGCGCAGTGTGGGGGTGCCCACCCCACCCAGCGCTGCTTTGGCCGCCTGACGGACGCTTGGCGTTAGCAGTTCCCCGAGGCTAGTGAGATTCCCCGTTGGGGAGAGCTGTCTAGGGCTGGCGTAGCTATCTTTGATCTTGACTTTGATGCTATCCTTGCTGCCATGTATGCTGTGACTATTAGTGAGGAGGGTGACTGTTACCGGTGTTTCCCGCCCGACCCGGGCATTGGTACTGCTGCGCTAGGTAGTTCTGCGGCTGCTGCTCTAGGTGCCAGTGCGTCTGCACTCTCAGGTACTGGTGAGGCTGCGCTCTCAGGTACTGCGTCGGCTTCGGCCTCCCTCACCTTCACGCTTGACTCAGGGGCATCTCGCTCCTTCTTTCGAGACCGCACCACACTCACGCCGCTTGGCCGGCCGGTTGCAGTCTCCCTGGCTGACCCCTCTGGGGGTCCTGTCCTCTCTCACTTCTCCACTGTCCTCCCGTGTCCGGCTGCCCCCTCGGGCACCTTGTCTGGTCTGTACCTCCCCTCGTTCTCGACGAACTTGGTGAGTGGTGCTGACCTGCAGGATGCGGGGGTTCACCAGTTTACTCCTGCGAGTCAGCGGGTGACCCACTGCTCAGACGCCCGCACAGGCCGACACCTGGCCACGTTTTCGCGTCGGCCGGGGTCGAGTCTCTACAC